TTTTTTTTTGGTTTTTCTCCGGTACCAGGAACCGAACTCACGACCTTGCGCTTGCCAGGCAGGCGCTTTTGCCGCTGAGCTAAATCCCCAGCCCCGAACAGAACATTGTATATCATTACAGATAGGTACTCGGGAGGCTCAGGTAGGTAAATCAGATTGTATATCATTACATATTGTTCATTCTGGGACAGAAGAGTTGAGCATAGTGCTGGGCAGAGCTCTTTGAATTCGTACTCCAGGGTGTAGTCATTGACAACAGAGGACTAATGTCCAAGAGAAAACAGGTCACTTGGGGCTCAGCAGCAGTGCTTACTAAGAACGTTGTGTGTTTACACACTTTGTGCGTGTGCCTTGAATGTTTCATTGTGGTATTCAGGCCTTTCCTTCCCTTGCTAGTGTAGCCCTCTCTGACTTGTTGAACTTGGGTTCTTTTTTTTTTTTGTGGTACTGGTGAATGAACTTAGGGCCTCTTGCATGCAAAGCATATGTTCTATCTCTGAACTATACCTCCAGTCCTCCGCTTGGATGTCTGTGTGTATATGTTTGTTTGTGTGTGTATGTATGTATGTGTTTATGTATTACTGGGAATTAAACCCAGGGCCTTTGCATTGAGCAATATCTAGCCATTTTTTAAAAAAATTGACACAGGGATTTGTTGTCCAGGCTGGCCTTCAAATTATGATCCTCCTGACTCAGCCTCTAAGAGTGCTGGTTATAAGTATGTGCCACCAAGCCCAACTCTGCTTGGATTCTAGTTTAAAAAAAAAAAAAATCCAAGGTGGTGTGGTGGCACATGCCTGTAATCCCAGCACTCGGGAGGCTGAGGCAGGAGGATCGTTGAAAGTTCAAGACCAGCCTGGGCTACAAAATGAGCTCAAGGTCAGCCTGAACGTCATAGCAGGACCTTGTCTCAAAAAGAACAAAAAAAAACAAAAAACAAAAAACAAAAAACAAAAAACAGCAACAAAAAAAACAATCCACTTAGGTCTTCTGGGCTTGCAGGGAGCCTGCCTCCTGAACCTGTGGTCCTGCTCTTGTCCCTGCCTGGCATGCCTCCATCACACACCCCTCTCCCTTCTCTACTGTATCCTTCTCTGTCTGGTGCTTACCTCCCATCTGGGAAACCTGCCCTTGTTACCTCTGTCTTGGGAGTGAAGGTTTGGAGTTCTGCCAGCTTCATGTCTGAGGAGCAGGAGTGTTCTTTCCCAGCTTTAATCTAACCATATTGTACATCTTGTTTCTCATGTGGTTTTAGTCCAAAACATCTTGAGTGTTGCACTCTGCCACGCAGAGAAGAACATTTTCTTGTGATTCTGTCCTGGTAAAAATGCATTATTTTGTAGCTCTTTTGGGGACTCATAAAAGGATTATCTGGGCTGCAATAATAGGTGAATCCTGCAATTCAAATACCTGAATTGTTGTAGAGCTAACACTCCCTGGGCCCAGGCAGGGATTATTTACAGCCCTTTTTATGTTAGACTGTTCTTCCTAAGAGGATTTGCAGGGAGCTCAGTGGTCTCCTTCAGGCAGCCCCCAGAGGGTCTGCAGTGGAGACTGCTTTGGCTAGACAAAGGGAATTTGGTATGGGGACTGTGTCATGTGGACTTTTCCATCCAGGGACATACATCAAGTATGGATCCTGTCCATCTGTGGCTTGTGAAATAACCCTTTTCCAGGCATGTTTATTTTATGGGATAAGCCTAGTGGTTAAAGGCATGAGTTTTAGAATAAATTTTAACATCCTATAACCTTGAGTCAGCCAGCTGAACTTCAGTTTCTTCATCTGTGACTTGGGGCCAGTGATATCTATTTGGCATTTTTTTTTTTTTTTTTTTTTTTTATTTAAGGATAAAAGGAGGGAAATATTAACAGACATACAACATTTTTTTTTTTTTTTTGGTACTGGGCATCGAACTCAGGACCTTACGCTTGCCAGGCAGGTGCTTGTGCTGCTGAACTATAACCCCGGCCCCTATTTGGCATTATTATGAGCATTAAAATGGCCTGAGGATGTATAGACATTACCAGAGTGCATGGAACAAGGATGTTCCTCAACACTGGCTGATTTTATCATTAGCTGTAGAAGATAGAATTCATATGCTTTTATGCATACTTCCTAGTGTTTACCAAAGGAGGCATTCTGGGACCATTGTTACATAGTGAGAAAGTAATTCTGCTTTTCGTTCAACTGATTGTATCAAGGATGAGTTTGCATGGTGCTGTTTAATAGTTGCTCATTTTCTACATTTCAAGGAAAGAAAGGCTCAGACTGATGCTCAGAGCCTTTGACAGGCAATTGTATAACATCAGTTGTTTTTTTTAAGATGACCTCTTTATGGGAAATGATACTGTTTTTCTATTTAAAGTACTAAGGTTTCTTTTTCTAAAAAGAGAGTGGAAGTTTAAGGGAAAATATCAAAGGCTAACAACAGAACCTTTACATATCATTGTGCAGGTTGTTCATTTTTCTCGGGCCGATGCACAGCTCCTTACCACACCATGTGCCCTGGCGCAGGACTGCAAGCATGGGGAAGATGAGGTGCCTTTTTCTAATTCTCACAAGGACACCAGGTGAGCCAACAGTAACTAGGGTCACATTGGTTTGCACTTTGTCAAATACAGTGATGGTGGCATGTAAATGTCCCTGTGAGAATCCTCCAGGTGGGTGTTAGTAGTGTCTGTGGCACTGCAAAGCTGTAGTTCTATAAAATATAGCCTGGCCCTTCTCTCTCTAGTGCAGTGGCCACTGGTCATATGAGACTCCTAAGCACTTAAAATGTGACTAGTGTAAATTGAGAAATGCTTAAAAGCAAAGCAGAGTGTAAAATATGTCGTCTGTCACGTAAAAATAATGGCTACATGTTGAAAATATATTTTGTGTAGGTTAGGATACATAAAATATGTTATTACACTGAATTTCACTTGTTTATTTTTTAATGCGGCTGTTGGGGAATTTGAGGTTACATGCATGCCAGGCACGGTGGTATGTGCCTGTAATCCCAGCTACTCGAGAGGCTCAGGTAGGTAAATCATTTGACCTTAGGAATTTCAGGTCAGCCTAGCAGTCTAGTGAGAACCTGTCCCCAAAAAACAACAAAGATAAAACAAAGCAAAATAAATACAATAAACGGATGTATGTAATTATATGTGATGTAGATATAATTATATTTGTCACATACTTCCTTGGACAGTGCTGATCTAGACCATTGAAACGGGGGAGCCTGGAAACAGGCCACACATATGGAGACTGGGAATGTGACAAAGATAGCATTATCAGAAGGGCTAGAACATTCAGATAACGATGGTGGACAATTGGTTTACCATATGGAAAAATAAAATTATATGCCCAATTCAAGCATATGCAAAATTAAAATCCAGATGGATTGAAGGCTGAACCATGAACAACTTTTTAAGATCCCTATGCATAATAGAGCTTTATTTTTATGAAATGTATTTTTGGCTTTGAAGTTGGGCATGGTTTCAGGTAGCCTTTGCTGTATAACACTCAACTCAGAATAGTACCTTGAACCTGCCACAATTGCATTACTTCCCGCTGGTGGGTGGCTGGGTGGCTCTTCTGCTGGGGTCATTTGGGCTCGCTCACGTGGGTGCATTCGGCTGGCAGGTTCACCGTGCTCTGGACCATCTAAGCCTCTCCCTTCGCCCTGGTCTTTCGTCAGTGGCTGTCTTCGCAGTGTGCTGCTCTTGCGGTGTGGAGGACGTGAGAGCAGATCCCTGAGGCTGACGCTCAGAACTATCATGGAGTGTCATTTCTATCTGTGGGCTCAAGGAGGTCACAGTGCTGGCTCAGATTCAAAAGTCAGGGCAATCGACTCTGCCTTCCGTTAGGAAATACAGTGAAGTCACTCTGTAAAGACGCATGCCAGAGGATAGGCACAATTTCCTAAGATACCCAGGACTCTGGTCATAAATACAAAGGTTAAAAACTACAGCTACATTTAAAATTTCTAAAAAAATTACATATCTGTAAACACTCATTTTGGGAAATGGAAAGATAAGTCATAGACCAGGAGAAGCTATCTGTAACGTATTGTAGTGTCCAGTTACATAGTGCATGCCTGTAACCCCAGCACTGAAGGAAGCTGATGCAGGAAGATCACAAGTTCAAGTCCGGTTCAGGATTCAGTCTCAAGATAAATAAAGTTTTAAAAAGGACTAGGAGCTGGGCATGGTGGTGCACGCCTTAATCCTAGCACGTGGGAGGCTGAGGCAGGAGGATCGCCATGAGTTCTAGGCCAGCCTGAGCTGCATAGGAGACCCTGTCTCAAAAAAAAGGGCTGGGAATGTAATTTCTTTTGTAGTTGGATCCCTAGTACACAAACAACAACAACAGCCCTAGACAACTATAAATCACAAGAAAAAGGCCAACAAGTCCAGGGAAAAGTAAGCAGAAGACATAAAGCAATTTATGCAACATAGAGAAATGATGTTTAACTTTATTTGATTTTCTTTTCTCTGATTATTTTAGAGAAGTACAGTGAGTGTTACTTTATAGTCACAGGCTGCTGTAACAAAATACCATTTTGTTCATAAATTTATTTCTCATAATTCTGAGGTTGAGAAGTACAAAGTCAAGGTGTAGCTGATTCTGTGTCTCACGAGAGCTGCTTCGTAGCTCATAGATGGCTGTCTTTTCTCTGTAATTCCTTTTCTGAAATTTTTACATGTAAACATTTTAAACATTTTTAATTTTTATGAGTACATGTTTGCAGTATATGATTGCATTCATCCTGGGGGTTGATACATGTACATAACACATCTTTAATTCTTTTTATGTCTGCTTCCTTTCTGTGGCAGAAAGAGCCAAGGAGCTCTCTTAGTCTTTCTTCTTTTTTTTGTTTTTTTTTGGTCTTTTTGAGACAGGGTCTCGCTATTCAGTTCAGGCTGGCCTTGAGCTCACTTTGTAGCCCAGGCTGGTCTTGAACCTGCAAGGATTCTCCTGCCTCAGCCTCCTGAGTGCTGGGATTATAGGCGTGTGCCACCACGCCCAGCTAGGCCTTCTTTATAAGCCCCATTCATGAGGGCTCTGCTGCAGTAACCCAGTTACCACCTGTAAGTTCCTCCTTCCAATATCGTCACCTTTAGAAAGATGGAGTTTCTTTTGGATTTTAACATGTGAAACTTGTGGAAGCATGAGCATTCAGACCATAGTGCAGACTGACAAATGAGCCAAGCTGATAAAGGGCTGAGGGTGTAGCTATGGCTTAGTGGTAGATCATTTGCCTAGCAGGTGTGAGGCCCTGGGTCCCCTCCCCAGCAGGAGAAGAAAGCCAACCAATCAACCCAGATTTGATGACAAGTGTGTTGGTTATAATCTAACCTTAACCTGAGGAACAGCATCCTCTGACCATTCCATGGTTGCAGTCACAGGTGAATCCTCCCTTGGTGCCTGTCCTGTGTATCAGGGAACACATATAAGACCATGAGGGTGTTCATTGCACCATTGTGTGTAATACAGAAAAGAGAGAAGCAACTTAAATACAGGATGTGAGATAAATTGTGACACATTTACTTACAAGAATATTGTTTAGCAGAAGTCAGTGACGGAATGTGAGCTTTCTGGCTCAGCGAGTGTAGAACTTGAAAAAAACTCAACATGGCTTGAAAAGGGGATATTCCAGAATAGTAATAGTGTGATCCACTTACATAAATGTTGAAACCCACAAAAAATAGTTGTTACTGTTTTGGGGTTTGTAAGTATTAGAGGCGTAGAAACATGGGTAAGGAAGACACACCTCAACTTTAAGATAATGGTTGCCTCTTAAAGGGGAGGAGAGAATGGGATGGGAGTACCTGTCTACTCCGATATACTGTACTCAGGCCAGGCATTGTCTTGAGCTCAGGAGTTGCAGACCAGCTCAGACAAAATAGCAAGAGCCCATCTTAAAACAGATGCGTACATATGCATCTTTATAAAGTCATAGTTATGGTCATGCAGGATGTGCAAAAAGTAGCCGTTTTTACTTTGTCACAAGTTGGAGTTTGGCAAGATTGGGCACAACTGATACATTTTTTTCATTTTTATACTTATACACATTTATACATTTTGGGGGAGGGAGGCTGAACCTTGTACTGAAAATTTTTAAATTTTGAGAGAGGGTGCTTTAGTTACTTTTCCTTGTCACTGGGACACAACACCTGACACCCACAACATAAAGGAGGAGACATTTATTTTGGCTCATGGTTTTGGTCCATGGTTGGCTGGCTCCAAGGCAGAAAGGACCAGGGTGGAGGAGAGCTGCTAACCTCTTGGCATCCAAGAAGCAGAGGAAGTCAAGCACGGTGGGGCTGGGGAGAGAGCTGCAACCTTTCAGGTTATGTCCACAGTGACCCGCCTCTTCCGACCAGGCCTTCCCTTAACAGCAATTTGGCTGTAGCTTCCGTAATCCCGTCAAATGTCCAAAGGTCCCACCTATGAGCTCATGAGACTTGAGGGGGACAGCTACCATAAACCATAAGAGAGGGTCTCCTTAGGTTACTAAGTTGCCCAGCTGGGCTGGAACCCTCCTGCTTCAGCCACCCAGGGTGCCAGGATTACAGATGTGGGCACAGTGTATACCTTTAAACAATAAATAGGCCATCTGGGGATTTATAGATTACATATGATATTTCCTAATGAAGTGTTTAACTGCGTGACGCAGAATAGCGTGTGTCAAGGATGCTGTTTAGAAATGACCAGAAGACTTTTATGCATTACATAAACCTGAAGGTAGTCATTCATTGCTTTGTCCTCCCTTGTCCCAGGAAACTGCCTTTGATCCCTTTGAAGTCCATATGGCTCTGTATGATGAAGATCTCCTGAAAAATCCTTTCTATCTGGCCCTGCAGAAGTGGCGTCCAGACTTGTGCAGCAAGGTGGCCCAAATCCACGGCACTGTGAGTACTTTGATCCTGAGGGTTGTTGTTCGGTGTGGCTGACGCCAGAATGTGGGAGGCTGGGGTAACACTTAGAGGAAGTCAGCTACAGACCCGTGTGTGAACGCGCACCGAGAGACTGCCTGCCCTGCTTCCCCTGACTCTGAACTCCCGGCCCTCATCCGTCCTCCGTGCGGCCTGCCCCAGATGGCACCGCAATCTCCTGTCCTTATCTCTGTCTCTTTTTTCCCCTTTTGACCAGCAGGGCTAGTCTAGAGCCTCACATGTCCTTACTTGTGAGCTGGACGTCCGCTCTTGCAGAAGAAAGGAACTCGTGAATTTGTGCATTGCTGTGAAGGCTGTTTCCTAAACGGCAAGAACTTCTTCTCTAACGGGGGCTGCAACCTAAAAGCCTAGGGCAGCGAGATGGCAGGAGAGGGAGAGGCAGGTGGGAGGAACTAGCTGTGGGCGGGGCCTCTGTTGCTTGGAGGAACGCCAGGCCCGCACTGTGGGTCCTTCCAGCCCTCAGGTCGGTGATGCTGGTGGGCGTCTGTAGGTGGCATTTCAGCAGGCAGTGTGCTGGGTGTTTTTCATTATGACCTCCACTTGAGATGTGTATCCTCTCTTTGTGTTGTTCTTTTGTCATCTCATAGCGTGGGTCTGCTTCTACCCTGTGGTGTGACTCTGCTCAGACAGGTCATCTGTCTGGGGTTTTCAGTCGGTGGAGAATTCAGCTCGACCCTGGTTGGCCTCAGGTTCTTGGCTGTCTCTCTAGAAAACCTGAACTAATTTTCTTCTTACTTCTGCTCTCAGAAGCCTGGTTTCTTGAAGTCACTTCTGGTTTTTATGATTAGTTTTTTTTTTTTAAATTTTTTTTTTTTATTTTAAACAGTAAAAGAAGGACAACATAGCAATAGGGGGATTCACTGAATTACAGACAAAGTGGTAGGACATTATCAATGGTTATGATTAGTTTTGTGATTCGTATGCTTTCACTAGAATTTTTTACTTTGGACTTTGGAAGTTTCAAAAAATTCATTAAAAAAATAAGTGAATACAGCCAGGTGTGATAGGACACGCTTATAATCCCAGCACTTGAGAGGCTGAGGCAGGAGGATTTCTATGAGTTCGAGGCCAGCGTGGGCTATGTAGTGAATTCAAGGCCAGCCTGAACTACTATATAGTAAGACCTTGTCTCAAACAATAAACAAAAAATTAAAAAATATAGCTGTGCCCTGAGAAGAAAATAAAGTCTCATATAGCTCACCGGAGACATTGATGGTCATCTACTCCTTTCACAGTGGTTATTGGATGCCATTATACGCAAGGCACTATGTTTGCTACTGAGAGTTGAGCAGGAAAATAGGAACACAATTCATCCTCTTTGCTCTCCCCGAGTTTAAATCCTCGTGTGAGAAAGAGTCACACCTTGGGCACACACATACAAATGACAGTGGTAGGGACACTGAAAAAGATAACCAGACGCAAAGCAGTCCTGTAGCAGGGGAGGGGGGTCAGAGGACCACAGCTTGCTCCTGCACCCTGTCGTCTGTATGATGGGGACACTGGTGCCTCCCTGTCCAGTGCTCAGTTGCATTCCAGCCATGTTCGCTGGTTGAATGAGAAAGTAGCATGTTTTGATCATCTGCAGAAGGGTACTCATTCTGTCTCGTTTCTGAAAGATCTGTGTGGTGGCCTCAGCAGGTGAGTGTGGAATTTCTTTCCTTGGAGGTTGGCCATGGGACAAGCGTGCCCACCTTAGACTCTTCTCTGGGGCTCAGAATCCTTGCTGAGTCACAGAACAGGATGTGTCTACAGGATCAGTCGCCCCTCACGTCTCCCTGCCCCTGCACTGGTGGGCCGCCCCATTTTCTGCTCATCCGCAGCTGCATGTGTGTGACAGCTAAGGGTTCAGCCTGACGGTCCCCTACCCTGCCCCAGCCACTCACCGAGTTGGCTTCCTCCCAGGACTTCTTGAGAACGGCATCGCCTTCCTGCCATCACCTGCTCTCCCTGACTGCACAGTGAAACCCCTTCTCCTGTGCTTCTCTAGGTCCCAATCGCAGGCGCCTCTGTCACCCCACACTGTTCTAAGAACCACCTGGCTAGTTATGCACCTGCAGCTTCCTCGCAGAGGGTTGGGCAGGATTGCATCCCTGAGGCTCTTACCTGTGGGCTGCTAAGAGAAAGACCTTCAGGTTTCCCAGATGTTCCGGAGTGGGTCCACTTAACCATGGAGAAGTGGAATTACAAAAAGAGACGAAGTTTGATCTTTTTATTGACATCCTTTGATTATAGGTTAAGTAGACCTGGGGGCTGGCCTGGGAACCTAGCCGCCTGTCACCCATGTTCCCAGGAACTGACTTCTACGCTGCAGCCCAGCTAAGGGTGCTGAGGTCCATGTCCCAAGTCTCAGGATTCATTCAGTGTAGAGTCACCCAAGAATCGTAGCGTCTGCCACATTCCAGACCTAGCCCTGGGTTTCCAGGGCTCCATGCGTGGACAGAGAACATGGGAGGCCTTGAAGGTATTCTAGAATCAGTCCATGTAGCTGGGAGGATGAGTATAGGACAGAAGCCATCATAGGTGGCTCTTTAGTGCACAGTTAGGAGAGTATGCTGGGGTAGGCGCCACGAATGCAGATTCTTGCTTTTTCTTTTCCTTTGCTTTGTTTAACTACTGTTATTGAAACAGTTCCCTGTAAAGGGGCTAGACCATTTTATTGTTAACCTTTGAAATGAGTAGGTCCCCAGTTCAGACTGCGTGGTAACTGTGCACCCCCGGGAAAGCTCTGCAGCTCCCTCACGGGAGAGCCGGGGGACCTGTGTAGCTGTTCTGCAGCTGACTGCTGGTGGCTTCTTCACCTCTGTGTCATCAGGATGTGAGGAGCAGATGGACTACATTTGCAGTGAGGTGCTCTGACCAGCAGGGGTCTCTCCCTTGGAATGGGAGGAACTGAGCTGCTTTTCACAGGGCTGGAAAACTGGGTGTGGGTGGGAGTGGGAGGGATGTCCCCGAAATTGGAGGGTCCCTGTTCATTCAGCAGATGTGGATTGGGCATCTGCAGCAGGACATGCGGCGTGCTTGGCCATGGGCTACAGTGCCACTGAGGCCGGACAAGCTTTGTTCATGCTGGAAAGGGGGAGAGGGTGTGTGGCAGTTAGTAAACAGGCTATAACTGCAGGAGGGCCAAAGTTCTCTGAGCATGTGGGAAGTTCCTGGTCTTGCAGAGGCCAGATGAAGGCCTCCAGTGTGCCCTTCCTGGTGTGGGATGGTGTGGGTCTTTCATCCCACGAGCTGGCGTGGGACCATCTCTCAGCCTCTGAGCAGGGGTGTGGGTGCCACCCCTGGCTGGGCTCCCCTGTCCTGTGCACTGGGTCTTCTTTGTTTTGTGCTCAGTATGAACTGCATTTTTTATGCGACTCTGAAGCTACCTTGGAGCCTTGAGGCTGTTTGAGGTTGTTTCTCATTTCTAAGCTGGTACCTGGGGGCCTCCCTTTATTTTAATTTTATTTGTCTACTAAAATTTCAGATTATCATGTTTAATTTTAAACATATTAACGTAGGAAAAAATCGCTTCTCGGCCTTTTGGCTAATATCAAGTGTAACGTAGGAAAAGTAGTGCCGTGAGCTCCAGGTACCCTTCATTCAGCTTCAACAGAGGGAAGGTAGTGGCCCGTCAGGTTTTATCTCTAGTCAGCATCAGCCCCTGGATCATTTTGAAGAAAATCTCATAAAATTACATAAAGTAGATACGTGGTTTCATCTGTAAATATTTTTAGGGTTGCAACCATAATGCCATAACCATAGCTGCAGTAATGTCTCAGTAATTCTTTATTATTGTCAAATATCTGCTCATTTCAAATTTCCTAAATTATCTAGCTTATTTATGTTTTACAGTTGGTTTGTTCAAATCAAGATCCAGAGGAGATCCACAATTGAAGAGCTATAAAGGACTTTTAAGTCTCTTTTATCACCACTTTCTCGTGTTAAAATGAAGTTCACTAAGCTACACATACTGCACAGTTTGATCAGTTTTGACGTGCTTTATAGATTTGTCAAACTGTTGATATAGTCTTACTGTAGTCTTAAGGTTTATTTATTTTAATGCTACCAAGGACTGAACCCGGGGCCTTTGCACTGAGCTAGAGCCCCAATTCTTTTTATTTTTTGTTTTGAGACAGGATCTTACTAAGTTACTAACTTCCCCAGGAGGAACTTTTGATCCTCCTGCCTTACCCTTCTAGAGTGCTGGGATTACAGGTATGAGCCACCATGCCCAACTAGGGTGTTTTGTTTTTTCTTTTAAGTATAGCTTCCTCTTCCTTCTTTTTCCTTTCTTTTCTTGCAGTTCACTTAAAGAGAAACCAGGTCATTTACTCTGTAGAGCTTCTAACATTGTACCTTTTTGCCAGGTGTAATCCTATGATGGTGCTTGACATGGCTCCATGTTCCTGAAATTGGTAGTTAAGTCCAGTTCTTGATCTGACTCAGTTTTGATTTTTTTGAGGAGACAGCAAGGCCACTTCACAGACCAAGTTGCCTTCCCTATCAGCAGGTGCTTCCCTTTTTTGTTGTCAGGGGTTGATGTGGCCCTCCACCTATCTAGCCAGGTGTGGTGGCACAAGCCTCTAATCCCAGCGTGCAGAAGGAGCACATGTTCAAGCCCAACCTGGGCAACTTAGCAAGAACCTTTTTTTCTTTGTTTGTTTTTTCTCCGGTATCAGGAACCGAACTCACGGCCTTGCACTTGCCAGGCAGGCGCTTTGCCGCTGAGCTAAATCCCCAGCCCAGCAAGACCCTTTCTTTAAAAAAAAAAAAAAAAATGTGTCTCCTACCTGATGACAGCATTCCTGAAAGGTCCAGTGGAGTGATGGTATACTGGGTTGTGCTTCCAGTCACCTCAAGTGAGATAGGGTAGTGGTCAAGGAGGCAGCTGAAATTTGAATCATGCTTCCTGGTGGCGTGACCCTGGACAAACCTTAACTCTTGAGCCTCAATTTTCTTATCTGTAAAATAGGGATAACACAGAAACTAGGCAGTTATTGAAGTCATAGCATATAGACTATTTAGTATGCCCAGCATATAGTGACACTCCAGAAATGGGAGCCTCAGCCCAGAATCACAGAAGCCTGTTTAGATGACGTTGCTAACAAACCTCTCTTCTTACTTTTAAAGAGTGCAGGACTGTGCAAATTGATTGCAGTTGTTAAAGCTTGGTTATAGGTGTCTGGATACGTATTGTACTGTATTATATTGTTTCCTTTTTTTGGAATGTTTTGAAGGGCAGGGCCCTTAACTGCCTGCCTTGGTTCTAGCCTGCCCCTCCTGGAATGTGGCTGCTGCCCCCAAGGCTGGGGCAGGGGCTGAAGAACGGGTAGTTATCAGCAACCTTGCTTCACCTAGCACTTGTTGGCCTGCTCTAAGAGTAAAGTGAGAGCCTAGTTCCAAAATCATTGATTCTGAGTTTTTATCCAAGCTTAATGAATTAAATATGTTTCTTGTATGCGGCATATGGTTGGATTTTACCTCTTGATCCATTCTGGCAGACTGTTTCTTCTTGTTCTTTTTTGTTTGTTTGTTTGTTTTGAGACATGGTCTTGCTGTGTAGCTCAGGCTGACCTTGAACTCCTGGCAGTCCTCCTGTCTCCACCTCCACCTCTGGGTGCTGGGATTACAGGCATGTGTCACCACGCCCAGCGAGTCTGTTAGTTTTGATTGATGAATTGAGACCATTAACACGAATAGTTACAACTGACATATATCGACTTACCCTTGTCATGTTATTTTCCTCTTGTTGGTTCCCTCCCCCCCTTTTCACTTGCTTGCCTTGTGTGGTAGATTCATAGAGTTGTAGTCCTTGTTACCTCTTTCTAGAATGTCCTTCAGAACATTGTGGAGTGCTGGTTTGATGTTCATGAATTTCCTCAGGTGTTCTTTGTCTTGGAATTATCTTGTTTCTGCATCAATTTTGAGAGGTAGTTTTGTGGGGTATATCAATCTGGGATGGAGGCTATTTTCTTTTAGGGCTTGAAATACTTCACTGCAAGCTCTCCTTGCTTTGAGGGTTTGTGTTGAAGTCTTCTGTGGTTCTGATGGGCTTTCTTTTACAGGAGATTTGTTTCTTTTTTCTAACAGCTTTTAATATTCTGTTCTTGTGTTGAATTTCTGTTTACTGTTATATGCCTTAGTGTGCAAGCTTAATGATTGTTTTGGTGGAGGGCCTAATCTCTGGAGATTTTATTTTCACTCCACCATTTTTGGTAGCATCTCTTGAAACTTAGTAATTTCTAATATTTGGGTCAGTAAGTCTTTTTTCGAAAAGGTCTGAGGGTGGTGTATTTCTCTGCCCAAGCTCCTTAAATGATGGCCATCTAATGTTGGAGTGAACTCAGTCAGGACTGATTGCTGGTGATTTTTATTCCTCAGTTCTTCAGAGAAAGTTAAATCTTCAGGACGTGTGCACTGCTGTAAGAGCTTGGATTATAACAAGGGCAGCACCCACCTGAGGGACAGGTTAGATGCTGCCACTGGCCTGCGCATGCCCCATGAGCTCACCTCACACTCCCAGCACACGCCCTCCAACCCCGCTCTCCACATGGGACACTGAGGAAGGATCGGTCGTGTGTTCAGGGCCCCGGCTGGGAGGCATAGAACCAGGAGTGGCACCCAGGCTTTCTGCCTGTTGGTCTCTGTGCTGGTCTGCTGTAGGAGTCAGACTTTGTGGGGCTTCTCTGCCTGGACCATCTTCCTTTTTGGAATACTTGTGTTAGAGATTTCTGTTCAGACATAAGTTCCCAAGCGAACCCCAGGTCTGGCCAGGGAAGAGATCCCCTTCCCACTGCTGCATTGTGCTGCCGAGGTGGCATCTTGTCAGTGTGGTGGCTGTGGTCTAGTTTTTGTTTTGTTTTGAGACAGTTCCTTACTATGCATTCAGGCTGGCCTTGAACTCACTTTGTAGCCCAGGCTGGCCTCAAACTGACTGACAGTGATCCTCCTGGGATTACAGGGGTGCACCACCTTGCCCAGCACAGGGTCTGTTATGCATATTTCTAACTGATCCTGCCCCAGAGGGAGAGGGTGGCACCCCAAGACACCTGGATCCAGAGGCAGCCTCTGATAAGCTGCCGCGTGGCCTTGATTCACCCACGCACACGGTCATGGCAGCCGCCTTCAGCACGAAGCATTGCTCTTTCAGGTGGTGGGGCAGTGTGACTTTTCTCACTTCCCTTTCTGTCCTCTCAACTCCATACCCCTCTCTCTGCCCAGGCCTGTTGCATCGTGGAGCTGGACTGGTGGGAGCGGAGGGCCCCTGGGGTCAGGTGGGAGGGACCCGGCGAGGGTGGGAAGGAGCCCAGTGTCTCTCTGAAGGTGGACACTGACCTGTGCCTCTGCGTCCCCCTCACCTGGGAGAGGGCTGTCTGCTTCCATCACTACCTCAGCAGAGGAACTCAGCTAGCAGCAACAGCGGCCATTTCAGCCTGCAGTGCCAGAGTCTGCCTGCAGTCCTGCCGTGGCTCCAGCGGGGTGGCTTGGAGACCTCCTTGGTGCTGGAGCCGTATGTACACCTCTCTCCAGAGCGCCTGCCATTGTTTTTTCCAGGTCTTAGTGCCCTGCAAAGGAAGCCTGTCCAGCAGTGTTCAGTCTACCTGTCAGTTCGAGTCCTACATTTTGAGACCTGTGGAAGGACATTTTCAGACCTTAAATGGAAAGGTAGTTTCTTGGGTCACTAGGTCAGTGGTGGGGGGCGGGGAGGGGAGAGAGTCGTGTCTCTTGGCCCTTCACCCCTACTGAGTTAAATGACAGTGTTCACACACATTCAGCGGTGCTGTGGGAGGGTTGGAGGAAGTGGGGGCGGGGAGGGCTGGCTCTCCCCAGCACCCTCTGCAATGAGGTGTGTGTCTGAGTGAGCGCTTTCTTCTCAGTGCTCCAGAAAGCCCCTTGATTTCTCAGCCAAAAATTAGATACCAAGGATGAATTTTCTTTCTTTTTTTCCTTTTTTTTTTTCTTTTCTTTTTGAGACAGGGTCTCACTATGCAGGATCTCACTTTGTAGCCAGGCTGGCCTCAAACTCAACGATCCTCCTGCCTCAGCCTCCCGAGTGCTGGGATTACAAGAGTGCGCCGCCATGCATGGCTCAAATTTTCTTCCTAAACCATTTTGTTTTGAAATAATTTCAAACCCATAGAAGGTTGAGTAAAGTACAGAGAACTCTAACACACCCTTTCTCCAGACTGACCGACTGGATTTTGCCACACTTATCTTTCTGGCTGTCTCCATCTGTTGTTAACTTTTCTAAATCTTTTGAGGGAAAGCTGCAGACCGATGCCGACCCAACACAGTTCAGTGTTTCCTGAGAACGCCACTCTCTCTCCTACCTGCTGTGCAGCAGCCACATCAGGGACTTGCATGTTGAGCGGATGTTCTCCAACTCCTGACCTTAGACACACTGTGCTATTATAGTACCCTTTATACCAAAAAAGAAAGACATTTCTTCTCCTCATACCCAGGATCAAGTAATTTATTGAGCTGTTCACATCTTGTTACTGTTATTTGAAACAATCCTCAGCATCTCTTTGTCTGTCATGACATTGACATTTTTGTTTTGTTTTGCAGACTCTCCCTCAGTGTGGGTTTGTCTCATGATTAGGTTATGGTCAGGCATTTTTGGTAGGGATGGCATGGCGGGGGTGTTTTATCTTTCTGAGCGTATCCTGTCAGGAGGCACATTTATCTCACTGTTGATAATTTGGAACATATTTTTTGTTTCATTTTGTTTTTTAATTTCTTCAAGGGAAGCAGGTAGGTGCTGAGAGGGGGAAGTTCCACTCACAGTCAGGGTTGGCTTCGTCGCCCAACCTGCACATGGTCAGGGAAGCCGGGCCGCACCACCCTTCCCTCTGGGGCTGGCCATGGTACTGTGGCCCTGGGACTCAGCCACTGAGGCTGTGGGCCCTGAGGTGGTGAGAGCAGGGGTGGAGTTGCCAAGAGGCCTGCGCAGGCGTGGTGCTCTTTTCCTACAGAGGAGCTGCTCGCCGCAGCTGTGCTCACCTGTTAGTTTTAAGGGCCATAGCAAGCCCATGCTGGGTAAGGCGGCAGGGTCTGGGTGAGTTCCATCCTGGGGGATAGACCAACAGGGGGGTCAGTGGCTGCCACCAGCTGCGGGTACAGTGACAACTTTCTCATTCCAGGATGTGTCTATACAAGGAAACAGGATTAAATTAGGAGCTGGTTTTGCCTGTCTTCTCTCAGTGCCCATCCTCTTTGAAGAAACTTTCTACAATGAGAAAGAAGAAAGTTTCAGCATCCTGTGTATAGCCCACCCTTTGGAAAAGAGAGAGAGTTCAGGTATTTGGGGAGAAAACCCTTTCCTCCTGATTTGGAGGAATGCATGTGTTGAACTTCTTCCTGGTATAGCTGTTAAAAGTTGGGCTGGGGATGTAACTCAGCGGCACAAGCCCCTGCCTGGCAAACGCAATGTCCTGAGTTCGATTCCCAGTACCCAAAAAAAATAAAAAAAAAGAAAAGTCACAGAAGACAGGAAAAAGCCCGCTAGAAACCGGTGTCACTATTTATTAGAATTCCCCCAGAACTTAACCAGCATCATCTCCCGCTCAGGGGGTGTGGACTGGGGCTGCTGTGTGTGGTCGTGCCGGTTGTATATTATGCAGCTCCGGGAGGTGGCAATCACATAGTCCCTGCTGCCCCTGTGATAAGTATGTGCTGTGAGTGTCACGCCTCAGTTGCGCAGAGGAGCAGCCCTGGCTTTGTCTGGGGGGCTCAGTTTTCCTCCTCACCCAGCCTGGCCGTCGTGCCCCTTTAGATCTCACTATTTGTAAAGAATAATAATTCTTCCATTGCCCCAGGAAACTGAGCTGACATAATGTCAAATGGGCCCTTACGGAAGCTCTTGCTGTCAGGAAGCAGAGCTTCCTCACCTGAGCCCCTCGACTCTCCCCACAAAACCCCAGAGGGTGGATTTTGTCCCAAGAAAAGGCCTTGAGAAGACCATGCTCCTTGGAACCCCGGCTGTCCTATACCTGAGCTGGTCTTGGGGAGTACTTGAAATTAAGTACTTGTCGCCCGCTGTCATCCTCCCTCCCAAGAGAGGGCCCTCGATCCTGTGGGAGCAGGGCAAAGGACGGACCGTTTCCCCTCTCAGGAGGCAGTGAGGGTTCATCCAGCCTGACCTGCTGTCTCTTTTTCAGAAGAGCCTTCAGCCCCCTCAGATCCCTTTTCCCTGAAAACCATCGAAGATGTGAGAGATTTTTTGGGAAGACACTCGGAGAAATTTGACAGGAGCATCGCCTCTTTCCACCGCACATTCCGAGAATGTGAAAGGAAGAGCCTCCGCCACCACATAGTCAGTGCCACGTCTCGCTGTGTCTGGCAGGCCCGTTCAGAGCCTCCAGTCCCTTTCAGTTTATTCTCCAGCTTTCCTAGGTGCTGTCTCCACCATAGGAAGTTTCATTTAAATGTTACTCGCTAACTATATAAAAGTGGTATAAGCCACTATAGAAAACTTGAGTATCCTGGAGAAGTCTAAAAAATAAATACCATTATCACCTATGTAAGCCCCATGGGGAAGTTTTTTCCGTACTTTTAGTGCATAATCACCTTTTAAAAAGTTGACAAATCAATCATGAAAATGATTTGATAAAGCTTGCATTACCCCTTAGAGCTTGTCGTGCAGGAAACGCATTTTGTGGCGTGTTTTCCTGGCTCTGGGGCGGGTTGCACATTCAGGTCTTGGTGTCTCTGGCCTCTGATGTGAGAGGGGCCTCTGTCTGCTCTGTGTTGCACAGGACTCGGTGAACGCCCTGTACACCAGATGCCTCCAGCAGCTTCTGAGGGACTCTCACCTGGTAAGCAGCAGGACTCCAAAAAAAGGCGATTGCAGTTTGCTCTCCTGTGAGTCCAGGCTCTTTAACTATACCCTTCTTAACCTCTAGAAAGTGCTTGCGAAGCAGGAGGCCCAGATGACCCTGATGAAGCAGGCAGTAGAGGTAAGGAGAGAGAGGGCGGCAGCGGCCTGTGGTTCTCCTCATGCTGGACACACGGCCTGAACCGGGTCCCTTCGATTCACAGATGTACGTCCACCACCATATTTACGATCTCATCTTTAAGTATGTGGGGACCATGGAGGCAAGCGAGGTAGGTTCACAGTCACCTCCGTCATCCCGGATAGAAGCCTTCCTCTGCGCTTTTTAAGAAATTTGAAGCCTCATTAAAATCTGTTGTTAGGATGCCGCCTTTAACAAAATCACAAGAAGCCTTCAGGATCTCCAGCAGAGAGACATCGGTGTGAAGCCTGAGTTCAGGTAAGGGTCTACGCTGCCCCAGCAGGGGCTCCATGTCCTCAGAGGCTGCGGCACCATCTTTTCCTCGGAGCCGGGCCTTTCTCTCAGTGGCAGTAGTGGGTGCCAGCGTGATGTGGTTACTACTGAGGAGCCTTGCAGTTATTTGTGACCAAAGATAAAGGGCTGAAATTGACTAGACTCTGTTTTCTGGCTGTCCCCTTTGGCAGCCAGCAAGGCAGCTGGTTGGGCGCGAAAGCGGATGGAATTTTGTACACCTGGTCTCCAGGTGGGCTTCGCCAGTGTGATGTCTTTCCTCACCTGCCTGTCTGAGGGAACCCTGCCATAGAAGCACAGAGGGATGCAAAAATGTCTACAGTGCTGATGTTTAGCCCCCTAACCCCTTGGGCTATTTTCCTCTTTCCTCTGGGGCTCAGGAGTTTTACTTAGTTCCAAATTTGTGGTGCAGCTCTGTCACCTGGCAGCCTGAATCACATTTAAATCCATTCTGTTTTGCTACTGGCTTGAGTCGAATTAGTTCTCTTTTTTTGTTTTCATTGCTTGTGGTTTGATGTAAGGAAAATATAACCTGAGGCGTATTATTAGAACGAGGAAGAAGGGTGTGCCCGCCGTGATCTGAAGTTGTCACGTTACTGAATTCTTTTACAGCTTCAACATCCCTCGTGCAAAGAGAGAGCTGGCTCAGCTGAACAAATGCTCCTCGCCCCAGCAGAAGCTGCTCTGCTTGCGAAAGGTGGTGCAGCTCATCACACAGTCTCCCAGCCAGAGAGGTTGGTGCTTGGGGAAGGGCCTGGGAAGGGCTGGGCACACATCGGATGAGGGCTCCTGCTCAGAAGTGGCTCTGTCTTGGTCCTTCAGATGGGGCTGAGGCTCAGCAGTGCATTCCAGTGTGAGCACTTTGGGGAGAGCTGGCTCGGGCATGGAGGGGGTGGGCGGTGAGAAAATAGTGACAGAGAAGCAGTGGCCTCAGAAGTGAGCCAAGCTGGTGAAGGGTACAGGCGGGACTCACTGTTAGGTTGTTTCTTTTCACTTTGTACTGTATATGTTTGAAACTTCCCAGTATAAAAAGGTTTTACTGGGGATATAGCTCAGTGGTAAGGGGGCTTGCCTAGCATGTGCAAGGCCCTGGGTTTCACCCCCAACACTGCAAAAATAAAAAAAAATTTAGAAATAGTAAAGAAAAGTAAAAGTAAATCAAAAGCTAAGAAAAAAAAAAAAGGAAAACAGGAGGCAGGATAGGTAGGGGATGCGTATAGATGAGGGGTGGTCTCTAGGCACACTGAGTGGCGCAGATGTAAATGGTGCACCTGCACCAGTATGCGGGAAAGTGTGGCTGGCTCTGTGTCCATACACATGAAGGCAAGGTCATAGGCCGGCCTGCAGAGACACGCAGGAAGCGGCAGCAGAGACTGGGAAAGGAGGCTGAACGGCAAGTAGAGGAGGGGCAGTCTCTGGTACTGTTTGAATTTCTGTTTGCTTATTTACTGCAGTGCTGGGGATAGCACTCAGGGCCTCATTCATGTTAGGCAAGTGCTGTACCACTGAGCCACATCCCTGACTCCTGTACTGTTGGGATTTTAAGTCATGAATGGATTACTTGCAAATACAAAATGGAAAAAAAAAATGAAGGTGCCAGGGGCATGAGACTCTGCATGCAAAAAACAGAAGGGATCTCACTAAGAGAGGCTTTGGGGGATGGCTCTGGGCACATCTTCTTTTGTTTCTACTGTCACTGCTTCCTTGAGCTCTTTAACCTTTAAGAGGGTGGTAAGACCTGGTCCGCTTGGAGTTAACTGCCTTTTGCACATGTTCTGAAAATGCTGTGCATTCCTTTATTCCCTTAAGTCTGACATCTGTTCAGGATGTTGTAAGGGCACCTGTGCACTTTTGTTGCTCATCTTGATGGAGTGTGGTTTTGTGGGTTGGATGGCAAAGGGGAATTTGTACACATGTCGTTCCAGGGGAGTCTCATGATGGCTTTGAACGTGTGTTTTCCTCTTGCAGTGAACTTGGAGACCATGTGTACTGATGATCTTCTCTCAGTCCTGTTATATTTGCTGGTGAAAACAGAGATCCCTAATTGGTAACTTTTTTTGTTAAAGTGATTTTTTCTTTCTTTCTTTCTTTCTTTCTTTCTTTCTTTCTTTCTTTCTTTCTTTCTTTTTTTGTTTGTTTTTTTGAGACAAGGTCTTGCTATGCAGTTCAGGCTGTCCTTGACCTCACTTTGTAGCCCAGGCTGGCCTCGAACTTGCAGTGATCCTCCTGCCTCAGCCTCCTGAGTGCTGGGATTACAGGCATGCACCACCATGCCTGGCTTTAAAATGCTTTTCAAAAGTGGCAGCACCATGCACTATACAGTTTCAGGATAACTCAGGGATAGCCTTGTAGTTGTGTTGCATCTTATGAACAGGGTGCCTGCCCTCTCCTCCTTCCTCCAGGGGCTCCTCCCATTTACAGATGGGGAAACTGAGGCCCAGAGAGCTTATGCTTTTTGTTCTGCATCATGCAGTGAGGCTGTGGCTGAACAGGAAGCTGACCCCAGTTCTTTCTTCCCGTAGGAGCCCATAGTTCACGTTACAGTAATCATCTAAAAGCTGGCCTGTTGCAGGGAAACAACAGGTAGCTTTACTGGTCCTAACTGTACACACCCTGCTGAGAGGTCACAGTGGGCACAGTGGTTGTAGCTCCCGTACGTGACTCACTGTAGCTATTTGATCAGTTGCCCAAACCAATAGCACTATTTTTCACAGAAACGTTAAGTAAGTATCCAGTGATAAAACTTTTCTTCGTTGTGGTAGGATGGCGAATTTGAGTTACATCAAAAACTTCAGATTTAGCAGCTCGGCGAAAGATGAACTGGGGTACTGCCTGACCTCAATTGAGGCCGCGATCGAATATATTCGGCAAGGAAGCCTTTCCATGAAGCCACCCGTAAGATCACACTCTTCCCCTCCCCTTCGTGGGCGCCGTGGCACCTGTGCCAGCCTTTGGGTTGGTTGTGGAGGGGGGATTCTGTCAGTGTGTCCGAAGAATGGGCCCTCAGCTGTTGGAGGGCTGTGATGCTGGATGACCACCCAGGAAACTGAATATTAGGCCCCTCTTTGCTTGTGAAAGTTGATGGGTTATCCTTGGGGTTCACATTGTGAATATCGTGCGTTCATCTTCTAAAGCACATGCGCGGGAAAGGAAGCCAGACATGGTGAATTTGGATTTCTTGAAAATTATTGTTGTTTTCCTGGTTGATTAGTGACTTTGGCTCAAGCGTTGTTATATTTCTGTGCGGATGGTGGGAGTCTTGGGCCACGTTTGCACTGCTGGTTGTCTTAGTCCCTTTCCCCATCACTGGGACAAAGTCCCTGACACTGCAGGTAGTGAAAGAGGAGAGGTTCATTTTGGCTCATGGTTTTAGCCCATAGTTGGCTGGCTCCAAGGCAGGAAGGCAGAGGGGAAGAACCTGGGCAGAGGAGAGCTGCTCCCCTCTTGGCACCTAGGACACAAGAGAAAAGAGAGGAGCTGGGGAAAGAGATACATCCGTGTCCCGCCTCTTCCAACCAGGCCCCACCTCCTGACAGCAAGGGGCTATGGCCCCTATAATCCAGTTACCTTCTGAAAGCCTCACACGTACTCATAAGGCCCTTGGGGGACGTCTAGATATAAACCGTGATACTGGCGTATTTTGCTGCACACCAAGCTTAATAGTCCTCAGAGAACTCTCAGAGTTGAACCCAGTAAAGTGAAGAGATTTCTGCATCACAACCAAGAATGGTGAGAATCGAGTATCATTTGACTCAAATGCTCTGCTGCTGCTAATATCAAGTTAAAGTACCCAGGACGTCCATCCACCTGACCAGACAGGTGCCCTTAGGTGATGGCAGTTCCCTGAATGCATTCCTTATTAGCATGTTGGTGCATTTTCCAGACTTTTCCCTATCCATCCATGTTACCTACCTAATTAGGTACTATTTTTTCCCCCAAAGAAGAACTTTATTTTTTTCTGATCAGAAGACTGATATTTGCTAATAGATATTATTTGCAATACATAAAATTACAGTGAAGACATAAAAAAAAATTTCATAGACTTGCCAGCCAGGGGTGACTTAGTAACATTTTGGCATATGCCTTTTCTCTGCGCAGCTGTAACTCTATTTTGAACCAGAATTTGAGATCGTGCTTGCTTGTTTGTGTGTAATCTGATGGTGCTACATTTAGCAGTGAAGAGTTAGTTTCTGCCCTTGTGATAGTTGTGATGGGTGTGATAGTTTCCCTGACTCCGATGCTGAGGTTAGAGGCTGTGCACCTCATCGCAGATGGGGCTGGCTGTGGCTCTTCTGGAGTTGTTCCCTTCTGCCTTCTCTTGTCTCCATATTTAGGGGAAGTCACAAGGTAGAATGCGTGTGTGTGCACGCGTGCCTCTGCATGCACTCGTGTGTGCAGAGTTAGAATTGCTGTTTGTTCCCAGAGTTGTAAGACGTTCTTCCTTGGAATTGTTTCCTGTGAGGCTCCAGGAGCATTTCTCGTTGTGTCTGGAGTGGCTTGCTGCAATGACCTTGCCTTGTGGCTCTTTCCCCTTTCTCTCCTGCTCTCCCATCGTGCGGGGGAGTCAGCCTGATGCTCTGTGATGGGGCTGGGAGCACCCCTTGTCTTTTGGAGGGAGAGGTCCACCACTGCCCCAGGATGTGGCCATTCTGCCTCCGCCTTTGTGCGGCACTTAGGAAAATCTGCGCTTGAAGGCCTCGGCCAGGTTGGGAGGAGGCAGCTGACCAGAACCAGGGAGCTTCCCTCACCTGCTGTTGTTCCAGAAAGTGTTGCAAGTGGTCGCTCTTGTGCTGGTGGTGGTTTGAATCCTACACTTCTCTTTGACCTTTGACAAACCTATTTGTCACTCTAAGGCTCTGTCCATTTTCCCATTGATGCTGGGGACAACGCTGCGTATTTCACCCATTGGTCGATTGTCGTGAGAATTGAACGTATTAGCAAAGGATAACTGTGGAAGCACTGAGGTATTTGGTGCCCTTGCTTGCTCTCCCAACACCCCTGCTCCTGGGGTGTGTCTGTTTCTAGGTTCCCCTGTGTATTCTGTGAGGTCATCCCCAAGCATGGTGTTTAGTTAGGCAGGCAAGGGAGGGACACAGCCCCCAGCACGCAGCTTGTCTGGGGTGTCTGCCCCGATCCTGCCTTCCTGGATGCAGGGTGTTGATTCTGGTGGCTGCTGGGACCATGGGTGCATCATCCTCCTGGCCTGCGTGGTGTCTGTCCCCTGGTGTTGAGTGAGTCAGCGCTGAGAGGTGCTCTGCACCTGTACTGAGCCTGGCCTGTTATTGATGGAGCAGGTACTGTGGCTTCCTTGTCTGTTGTGACACTGGCACTGGGACTCTCTGTGTACCAGTTGCTCTGCCTTAGCTGCTGACTGGCTTCTTTTAGGTAGTGCAGTTCCGTGTGGGGAATATGTGAAGTCAGTGCGGTGTCACGGTGCTGCTTCCTGGGGGTATCTCCACACAGTGGGCAAGGTTTCTGACAAACAGCAAGGGCTAAATATTGGTAAATTAAATAAGGTTTTACGTTCCACTCTTTCTGTAATACAGTTTCACAGAAATTTTCTCCCAAAGATGTAACCATACTTGAGATGACCATAAACTTTTTTTTTTTTTTTTTTTTGAGACACGATCTTGCTATGTTCCTAGGTAGCCAGGCTGCCCTTGAATTCACAGTCTTCCTGCCTCAGCTCCCTGAGTGTTGGATTGTTGGTGTGTACCTCCGTGCCAGGCCTGACCACATGGGGTCTTTAAGCATCTTCACAAATGAAGACATTAGTTTTCTGAGAATAAATATTGCTGGGATGGCTCCAGTCTTACCTCTGCTTGTAGAAAAACAAGGGGAAAACCTTGAAACAATTTGTACCACTCTTTGGTCCAGTTATTTCTCCTTTCATCCGCCTTGCCTTGCCTTGCCTTGCCTTGCCTTGCCTTGCCTTTTCTTTCCTTCCCTTTCTTCATTTTCTTCCTTCCTTCTTTCCTTTCTTCCTTCCTCTCTCCCTCCGTCCCTCCCTCCCTTCCTCCACTCTCTTTTTTCCTCTTTTCCTTCTTCTGAGACAGGATCTTGCTGTGTAGTCCAGGCTAGTCTTGAACTCACTGTGTTGCCCAGGCTAGCCTCAATCTCATGATCCTCCTGCCTCAGCCTCCCACGTTCTGAGATTACAGGTTTGCACTACCATCCTCAGTTCCTGCTCCACTTTTACATATGTCCACTCTTCCTCACTGTCCTGAGTTTCTGTTGAATAATATTTCTCTGTTTCCCAAATAAGTCTTTGCTGATGTACTGCTCACTCCTTTCTGCCTGCTCACTTCCCCTAAAGATTCAGTCCTGAGAGACCTACTTTCTTCATCACTGTCCTTCAGACAGCTCCCCCAAGTAGAGGAAGGAGCCCAGGATTGACCTGAGCAGCGTGCCTTTGATGTTTCTCCAGCCTAAGCTGCTCAGCTGTAAGTCACCGTGGAAAGCAGATTGTGTGAGCTTTATATAGCACCTAGCAGCTGGGGGCTGAAGTACCTCATTCCAAGGTGCTGGTCTTTGTCAGGTTAACCCCTCCTTGGGGGTTGGTAAGAGGGACCCTGCTTAATGGAGGAGCCCAGAAACGATCCATCCCCTGACATGCTGTTGGCTCCATCTTTGGCCAGCTCAGAACCTAGAGGACCATAAAGAGAGCACCTCACCCCCTGATTCTGTGAGAGTTTGTAGGGTTATTCCTGTAGCACCTGGCTGGGGGAAAAATTTCCTTTTGGGTCCCACGAAGACCCTTTTCCAGGAAGTTTAATTCATCATGAGACAGTTTAGTTGTGAGTGCTCAAGTGAATGCTGAATTATCTTGCTAGAAATGATTTCATAAAGGAGGGACACATTTCTAGATTTTATATCCAAGTAGACATTACCTGTAATGTGAAGATCTGGATTTATTTTCTGGGACAGGGCCTGTGTCAGGAATCCTTCCCCAGTATCTTCCTGGACTTCAGCCCCATGAGTGTGGCATCTCTCTTTATAAGTATGTTCATAAAGCAGCACCCCCTTCTCTTGGCTAGCACTGGGAAGTAGTGGACACTGGCCTGTCTGATGGCTTCCTGTCTGGACCTCCGGTTAACATGCCGGGGGATGGCTAAGAGGGGAGGAGGCCAGGACAGTCCAGCTTTCCATCTGGTGGCGTGTGCAGGCGACGTTCCACACACAGAGATGGCACATTCCACACCACAAAGCCAGTGCCGCCCGGTCCCAAGCAGGCAGCCACAGTCAGAGTCTCCACTTCGAGCTGAGCCTGCTGTCTGCCTCGTGAGCAGATCCAGGTGTGGGAAAAGTGGCCTTGATCCTGTTCTGCGATAAATGGCAGGGATTACAGCTGGGCCCTCCAAGTAGTAGAGTCCATGGGATAAGACAGTATTGCTTTTGCCAGCAGGAGTCAGAAGGTTTTGATGACAGACTGTTCCTTAAGCAGAAGATGAGTTTACTATCTCAGATGACCTCAACTCCCATTGACTGCCTATTTAAGGTAAGATGCTGGGATGTCTTTGTAGGCAAAGATGCCTGGGTCTTCCACCTTTGTCATGGTCCACTCAGCAGTGCCTCCCTGGTAACTGCAGCACTTGCTACCTCTCCTGGGCGCTGTGGGAGCTGCTGTCGCACGTGCATGTGTGTGCGTGTCCTGGGCTGGGCACAGCATCCGATTCCTTGGTGGTTTGATCATGGGCACGTGGAGGCAGCTCCCTGCTCAGATACTGACCGAGCCCGGGAGACTGGGGCAGTGCCTACAGGCAGTTGTGGAGGGCTGGGCGAGACTGGGCCTTCTGGGGAGCCTGCTGATGCAGGGTTCGTGTGTCAGTGGGGTCTCCTGCTCGTTGTACCTGTTCTCTTTCCCCTACGCTGAGGCTGTATTCAAACATAAGAGGAGTGGGACTGCGGCTTTTCCTACTGAGGGATTAAAAAGCACGCTAAGGTTCAGAGATCTATTGTGTGTCCCTTCCTATTGCTTTGGGAATTTTATCATTTTTTAAAATTATGGAATATTTCTAACATTTGTAGAAATAAAGGGAGTTGTATAATAAACAAGTTGGCTGGGTAGCCATCACCCAGTCTTCTTGCACCTCCACCCCTACCCAGTCTCCCCATGCATCCAGATAATCTTGAAGGAAATCCCAGAGAGCAAATCAAGGCTCCCAAAATATTCACACCACCAGGGACAGATGATTCTTTAACATTGATAGAGCTGGGGATCTCGCCCTTTAGCACATCGCATCAGGTGACCAGAAGGAGGTGGAAAGACTTCTGAGCCAGGAAGACCACGACAAAGATGCCGTCCAAAAGATGTGCCACCCGCTGTGCTTCTGCGACGACTGTGAGAAACTGGTCTCTGGGTACGAGGGAGCTGTGCTGCGGGAGAAGACGTGGGTCCCGGTGTGGGGGGCTTTGCACTTACTTTCCATGTACTTACGAGAGAGAGGCCTTACTCTCACTGCACCTCAGTGGCGTGTGCTATCATCTGTGACATCTGCTCCTTGGGAGAACCAGGTGGAATAGAGGTTGTAAAAATATCTCCACGCCACTGGGCTGGTGTAGAAGCTGCCTCTGCCTCAGCTTTAAAGGGGGCTTTAGGGGAGGGCAACGTCAGTTTCTCCCAGTAACATTTTTGGTTTCAACAGACTATTGTGCCAGGTGCTGAGCCCTCACAGGCTGGAGCGGGAGGGACACAGGAGCTGTAGGCCTCAGTCCTCTCCTGCAGGAGTCTGAGCAGGGGCTGTATGGTTCCTGATGCAGTGCTCAAGAGACACGTCCTGTTATCCGTCTTCTGGCTCCAGGATACCTGCCTGGTGGCCTGGTCGGAGAGAGGGTTTACCGTGTCAGTCCACTGATGTGCTGTTCTGCGTCTCTGTCCTAGGAGGTTGAACGATCCGTCCGTTGTCACTCCGTTCTCCAGAGATGACAGGGGGCACACGCCTCTGCATGTGGCTGCTCTCTGTGGTACGTGGCCTTAGTCTGGCTCCTGCAGAAAAGGGATGTGTGAGCGAGGTGGCCCAGCACAGGCCTGGCCAACAGGGTGGTGCAGGGCGCTGCATGGTGCACCCCCAGGGCCGGCCAGGGAAGAGCAGCAAATGTCCCACAGACCTTGATAGCCTCTGTGCGACCTCTGTGGCCCTTGTGTGGCTTTTTGGGCCAGAAGAGCATGTCTGTGTGCTTCTTACCCTACAGACACTGCCTGTCACGGCCCTGGGACTGGGAGGTCAGTGAGTAGAGGCTGGAAACCCAGCTATGAGAATGGTCTCAGAATTATCCATTTGGGGTTCTTCTAACTCTGCCTTTAAAAAATAATTTTGAGCCCACCATGGTACTGTATACCTATAATTCCAGCTATTCAGGAGGTTGGGGCAGGAGGACTATGAGTTCAAGTCCAACCTAGGCAAAACATAATGAACTCCCATTCTCCACACTCTCAAAAATATGGGTATTTTTGTGTGTGTGTTTTTGTTGTTGTTATTTTTAGACTGGGTCTCACTATTTAGTTCATATAGTCCTTGACCACTGTGTAGTCCAGACTGTTCTCAGATGTATGGTGATCCTTCTGCCTCAGCCTCCTGAGTGCTGGTTTACAGGTGTGTGCCATCATGCCTGGCTTAAAAATGATTTTGCAGTGCACAACCTCCAATTTTAATTACCGATCAGCTAGAATTTCTGCATCCTTTTGTGTATGTGTGCACAAAATCTGTTGTGTTGCAAGGCTCATATTGCTCTGGACTGTGCTGCTTTTCACTTGTCAGCATTTCAGAGCATTTCTCCTTGTTGATATTTTATTCGACCCTATAAACTGACAGACCATGGTATGCTCCGTGACGGAGGTTCTTTTCCATTGACTTTGATCGCTGAGAGGTGGACCAGGGGTGGGCCCCACCCCTAAGTGTTTTCTGAGTCTGCAGAGCCTGCCTTGACGTTTGCTCTGGCTCCTCTCCAGTAGAAAACAGACATCTTGGCGTGTCTGCTGCCAGACAGAGGTGGGTAAGATGGGTAAGATGTTTTGGGCTTCACATCAGGTGTGGGAAGCTCCTCTCCTCCCTTCTCCACCCTTCAGGGCAGGCGACCCTCATCGACCTCCTGGTTTCCAAGGGTGCTGTGGTGAATGCCACAGACTATCACGGCTCCACTCCACTGCACCTGGCGTGTCAGAGGGGCTACCAGAGCGTGACGGTGAGTGAGGGCCTTGGGTGCTCGCGAGCTTGCTCTGCGTGGTGGCTCCGCCGCTGCTGGCAGTGTCTCCGTGCTGCACCTCCTCTAGCCACTCAGGCAGCGCCGTGGGGGTGGGAGTCAGAGGCGCCCACCTGCGTCCACTGATCCAAGCCGCAGGTTGAGATGTGAGACTTCTGATCACCTGAAGGAAGAGAGAGGGTGGGGCTGGAGGTGTTTTTTTTCCTTTTTAAATCTCTAAACTTTTTCACAGGGTTAAAGCAGTGGCATAGTTTTAATGGTAGCAGAGGTTGAGTATCCCTTATCCTAAATGCTTGAGAGAGTGTTGGGTTTAAGTTTGTTTTAGGTTTTAGAATATTGGCGCATACATAATGAGATATTTTGGGGAATGGAACCCAAGTACAAACACAAAATTCACGTGTGTTTCTTTTTTAAAAATTATTCGTGTTGGCATATGCTCACAATATATGACACTTAGGTTTGTTTTGGGGAATTGGTACGTCTCTAACATATCCCAATCACTTTTATCCACCTTTTCCCCCTCCTCGGCTTCTCCCTCATTTATGTTTGTTTGCTTGTTTGCTTGCTGTCCTGGGGATTGAACCCTAACCCTCACCCTGAGCTACATCACCAGCCCTTTTTTTTTTTTTTTTTTGAGACAGGTTCTCACCAAGTTACTAGGATGCCCAGTTGGGCTCGAACTTGTGAACCTCCTCCCTCAGTCTCCTGGAGTCCTGGGATTACAGGCCAGCACTCCAGGCTTCATTTATGTCTCTTGCATGCCTTGTACACATACTGGAAGGCAACCTTAGCCAGTGTTTTAAGTGCTCCTGTGTTTTGACTTTTACCCACCGCATGCAGTCAGGCATCTAATTGTCTATTTGTGGTGGCGTGTTGGCACTTGGAAAGTTTCAGACTCTGGGAAATGAGGCTGTAGCTTAGCGGTGGAGCACTGCCTCGCACGCACAAGGCCCTGGGCTCCATCGCCTCAGCACCACCCCTCTCCCCAAAAAAGTTTCAGATTGTGGAGCATCTTGGATTTGGGATTTTTTGATTAGGAATGCTCAATCCATGTGCATAAGTATGACTCACATGGGAACAGATGACCTCTGCCCGTGAGACAAAAACACATTTCCAGCGGCCTGCTGGGCTCATTGCTTGTCTTCTGTCCTCCGCCAGCTGCTGCTGCTGCACTACAAGGCCAGCGCCGAGGTGCAGGACAACAACGGCAACACCCCGCTGCACCTGGCCTGCACCTACGGGCACGAGGATGTAAGTGGCGCCTGCCTTCCAGGCGCGGCTGTTTTCACTCTTCATCGCTCCTGGAGCAGTGTGAACTTCCCGCTAGTTTAATGTTGTATTTTGTGTTGATCATTATTGGAACATGGCGTGTGTAATATTTTTAATTTAAAAAATTTAATGTATTACAGATGTTTTATTGAAGTAACAGAAACTAAAACTTAATTGCCCATTATCTTATCCTAAAATTAAGTCATTTTCAGTCATCTCCATTACCATCTGGTTCTTAACTTGGTGCATACTCAAAGTTTCCATTTCATAAGGAACATGTAAGAATTTTATCATTCCCATTTCTGCTTACTATTTTACTGTGCTTGTGTTATTTTTTGCTATCTACTCTCCCCCCCGAATTATGAAAAAATAGATAAATGCATGTGTAAAGTTGAGTCTGGGTTTGGGGTTAATGTACAAAAATGAGATCATACCGTGTACATTTTATGCAACGTGCTTTCCTATCTAGAGTGTCATTAAAATCCCTGGGTCGATCAGCATAGATCTCACCGGGATAACACAGTGATTCGTATGTACCGTGTCAGTGGTCTTCAAGCCCACATACAGGTTCAGGGATTTTGAGGAAAACTCACAATGTAGTCATGCGACCGACAGCTGTGTTCATTACAGCAAAAGACATAGCAAAATCTCCGAGGGAAAAGGCACAGGAATGGTCTGTAGAAAACCAGAGCAGAGCTTCAAACAGTCCTCTGTCTGTGGAGCCACACGGATGTGCTTTATTCCTGCAGCAGTGAGCTGTGGCAGCACACACCAAGTGTCATCTACCAGGGAAGCTTGTTAGGGACTTGGTGCCCAGGACTTTTACTCACACCTGCTCCTCTGAGCATCCTCTGCTCCAGAATGCCACAGTCCTGGGGGAAAGCGGTATGTTCAGCATAAACCACATTGTTGTACACAACGCTGCTTGAGCCACTGGTCAGTTTGGGAACCGTGGATCCCTGCCTCCGTCCGGGGCCTGAGGAACACTGCAGGCCAAGGGACAGTCTGGTGGGCAGGCCGTTAAAGGAGAGCAGTCTCGGGCCTGCTGTGGTGGCTCTGGCCTCTACATGGAGACCTCACAGTTTCAGTCAGCTATTTCTTACTGACTGGCAGTTCTATTTCGAAAACAGCATGGTATCCTGCTCAAGTAATGCGGATCCTGCTGCTTTACTTCGGCTTGGTGCATGGGGGCTCAGCTGAAGCAGGACACGGATGGGGGCCACGGGGGGGGGGGCAGAGATGTTGCCGGGGCTTAGCGTGTTACTAAAAGGTGCCACCTTCCCACTTCCTTGCAGTGTGTGAAGGCTTTGGTGTACTATGACGTGCAGTCCTGCAGACTAGATATCGGCAACGAGAAGGGAGACACGCCTCTTCACATAGCTGCACGTTGGGGTTACCAAGGCATCATCGAGACATTGCTGCAGAACGGGGCACCCACAGAGATCCAGAACAGGCTGAAAGAGACGGCGCTGAAGTGCGCATTAAACTCAAAGGTATCTGTTCGTCTCTGAGCAGCATCTGACTGTAAAAAATCAGTGTCCATAGATTGGCCTTGCTGGGCGAATGTGCCTGAAGGTGGGGCTTGGCCTGTACCTTCTCTGCTCCATTTGGGACGTTTTTGTTAATTGTTTTACTTATTTAGATTATTTTCGATTTTACTAGCATTTTTTCTCAGCGTTGTGCTAAGAGCACACAGCTCCTGGCTGACCTGGCCTGGCATCTGAATGCTGTGGACTTGCTCCCAGCAGTGGACTGGGTGACAGTTGGGACCCAGGGTGAGAGGCGCAGAGACAGGGAACGGGGCAGTAAAAGCAGTACATGTCCTATCTCTGCTTACTATCACTTCATCTTCAGCTTCTTTCTTTTCTTTCTTGTTTTTGTTTTTGTTTTTTGAGACAGGGTCTTGCTATGTAGTACAGGCTGGTCTTGAATTCACTATTTAGCCCAGCCTGGTCTTGAACTTGCAGCAATCCTCCTGCCTCAGCCTCCCGAGTGCTGGGACTACAGGCTTGTACCACCATGTCCGGCTAGAAGGTTTATTTTCATTCGGGCAGTGCTGAACCTCACTTGGTATAGTTTCTTCCATCAAGGATTTGTAATGAGTTCGCACACCTTTTTGTGGTAGTGATTTCTGGAAACATGACTTTGGCAGCCTATATGAAAGTGTCCACTGCTCAGGGTGGGGAAGAAGGCAGCTTATGGGGACTGGTTCCTTATGTCCAACAGCCCAGCACCACCCTGGTGGAAGGGGTACCCTAGGAGAAACAGGTCGGCAGTTTGCTGAGGGAGGCCAGGGCCACTGCTTTCCCTGGGAATTCATGGCCCATATAAGTGACTGTTTTAGAAGAGGGCTCCAATTAATACCCCTGCACACAGGTCCAACGTTCTGCCTTTTGTTGTTTTCCTGGCTCTCTCTGCTTATTTCCAATTCAGGGAGTTCCTTTATCTTATTCACATCTTATTCTGGGAGTAGCACAGTTTTCATCTATTTTTGAACCACTTTGTTGAGGTTGACATAGGTAAAGCTGTGCATATTCCAGTTAGACAACTCGGTGGATCTGGAGCTAAGTACACCCCCGTGAAGCAATGCCCAAAGTCTGTGCTGGAAGCATTGCCATCACCAGCATACCCTCCCATTATTCGTTGCCGCTGCTTCTGTGTGTGTGGTAAGAACCCTTAGCCTTAGGTCTAGAGTAGCACTGGTGTGGAAGGGTTGCACCTTTCCTCCTAGCTGCAGGGGCCTCAGCTGTGCTGCTCTGATCATGTATAAGGTCCTGCGTTGTAGCAACCGAGAAGAGTGAGCTGATGCCCTGGGCCGGTATTGAGACACCGCAGCAGGAGGGTCCTCTGTCACTGTGGCTGCGCAGAGGCCTGCCTGCAGGGAGAGTGGCAGAGGAGAGAACGGGCTGCCTTCTTGGCCTGACTCTGGGCTTTCCCTGCTTGAGGCCAGTGGGTCCCAGTAGGACTGTCACACTCGACACTGTGGATAGATGGCTGGGCCAGACTGGGAACTTTGAGACCCTGGGTACAAAGCTCTGCCTCGCTGTTGGACAGAGAAGAGTGCAGTACAAGGGCAGGAAAGGCCTGAATGTCCGGTGTGATACTGACTGCATTCCCACTGCACTGGGGCTTCGGTTTGCCTTCTGTCCAAGGGCATGGCTGGGCTGCAGGGCCTCAGGTTCTTGCTGTGCTGGCATTCTATGGGGACAGGTGGGCAGGGGACTGTGGGTGATGGCCCTTTGTTATTGCCCATCTTGTTCACTGCTTTTCATGCCCCGTGTGTCCTCCTAGATCCTGTCTATCATGGAAGCCCATCATCTGTCCTTTGAAAGGAGGCGGAAGCCTTCTGAGGTGAGTCACCTGGGCGCGCTAGCTGGGGAGACTGGAGCTCCAGACCCCTCTGTCATCCTCATGTGTCTGTGTACCCGTGTCCCTTCTCTTGCCTGGACTCACTTCCTACAGGTCCCTGCACTGTCCCCTCAGCACTCTGTGGATTCCATCAGCCAGGGCTCCTCTGCCTCCAGCTTCTCCTCCGTGTCGGCGAGCTCCAGACAAGAGGAGTCCAAGAAGGACTACAGAGAGGTGAGTCTTCTTCTCACCTCTGGTAGAATAGAAGAATGGTGAAGAGGAGACATGGTGGCTGTGGCATTATGGTGGCCAGTCAAAGTGCCATAGCCTGAGCTGGGTATGGTGGCCCATTCCCGTAATCATGGTACTCTGAGAGGCTGAGGCAGGAGGATTGCAAGTTTGAATCCAGCTTGGGCCACTTAATGACTTAGGGAGGCCCTGTCAAAAAAAAGCATGTGAAGTGGGGACAGTGGCAGGGGTCACGGAGGACGTATCAGTGCAGAGACTCTGTGTTCGATCCCTAGTACTGCAGAAACACAACCCATAACCTGATGAGAGTTGCCCATCAGCCTGCTCCCCTGTTAGTGGAGCAGCTGCTTCTGCTGAGGCCAAGATCAGTGCCTTGCCGATGGCCCAGCCACACCTCATGTTGCTTTTCACTTCTGGGCCCTCCCAGCGTCCTCCCTCAGCCGCTTGGTGAACTGTGTGTATGAGAGAAGGAGAAAAAGACAGAAGCAGAGAGTATATTCTAAGGAAGATACAAGCAGGCCGCCTGCCAGGCCACTGGTTTCAGACCTTTTGCAAAGTACATTCTCTGCTCTCCATCCCAAACCATAAGCACCCCTACTAATGATCTGATCCGTTTGATCGCTGACTGCTTAGAGAAAATAAGAATTGACTCAACCCACGCGTCCCCAAGCCCCACGCTGTGACCCGTTCTCAGAGGCCAGCAAGCTTAGTCTGTGCAGAGCAACCACAAAGGAAGCCAAGAGGCGTGGTCCACAGGCTAACAGAGGCCTGAAATCTTCAGGGAGGGAGGGGGTGTCCCCTCTGGGCCCTCAGCTAGTAGTTAATGAGAGCAGAGTATGTGTAGTTCTGACTCACGGGGTGCCTGGCTTCTTAAAAAAGCAGTATACACCACGATCACCATCATCTCACCTTTCTACAGACTAGTAATTAAGAGCTTTGATGGTTTTGTTTTGTTCCTTTTTTGAGACAAGTCTCACTATGAAGTCCAGGCTGGCCTCAAACTTGAGATCCTCCTGCTTCAGCCTCTTGAGCGCTGGGACGACAGGTGTGTGCTACCATGTGTAGCTAATAGTTACATTTTATGTGTCTTAAATGAATGGATTTTTCCCACAATGCTCTTTTGGAGCAATTTTAGGGATATGTTGGAAAGGTATTAAGCCATTAAACACATCAGGAGACAGACAAAGGCTATTTACTATGTTTTCAGAATGTTTATTGTTATTTTATTATTAAAATCCTTTTCCTAGTACTCTTTTCTTCCTTTTATTAAGGTAGAAAAGCTTTTAAGAGCAGTTGCCGATGGAGACCTGGAGATGGTGAGTCTTTCAACAAGAATTTTAAGAAGCTGGCTCTCAGTCCAAAGCTACACCTGTGTTCCCGTCTCCAGTCTCGGCTCGGGGTGGTGCGTGTCGTGTGTGCTGGTAGCGGCTGTGTCGTATTTTCCAAACGAGTAAGGAGGCCCAGAATGAAGACATGCCTGCTCCAGGGCTGGTGAGATGTGGGCAAAACCAGACCGTGCCCGGTGGCCTAGACAGTGCAGGGTCACAGGGAGAGGAGGAAATGGCAGAGACCAAGGCCAAGCCCAGAGCCCTGAGTGGGGCTGCAGTTGGAGGCGGCTCTGGCTCTGGGCTGGGGCTGAGGTCGGAGGCTTGGGGCTCCGAGTCACAGGCAGGGGTCTGGCTGCTCTAGCTTGTGACTTGTGGGAAGGCATCTGTCCCCATCACTGCCAAAGCACTGGGCACGTCTGATAAGATCAGGGGACACCAGAGATGGGAGATACCTAAGGGCCGTGTCTCCTGGCTTTCCTTTGGCTTCCTGAAAGAATGCCGTGCGTGCGGTACTGGGGATGGAATCCAGCACCGTCTCACTGAGCTGCATTCCCAGCCCTTGTTTTAGTTTCTGTTCTGAGACAGAGTCTTACCAAGTTGCCCAGGCTGGGCTGGAACTTGTGATTCTCCTGCTTCAGCCTCAAAAAGTGCTAGGATCACAGGCATGCACCACCACGGCCAGCCTCTGTCTGCCACTTTTAATGGAGTAGTAAGTCAGGTGCTTGCCCATTTAGAAGCTCTGAATAAATCATCTTCCGTGAGTGCTTTACAGTGATGTGTGTTTCAAGGGTGCTTTTCACCGAGTGAGTAGCCTGAGGTGGTGAACAGAAATTGCTGGAGTCCGATTCCTCCTGCCTCTGGGATGAACACAGCCCCACAGGTCCGTGAGAGTGACACAGAGCCTCTGGGGCACGTGAGTGTCAGTGTCTGGCCAAGGCTGAGAGCACCCAGCATCCTTTGTGGAGATAGGAGTGTGTCAGGTGTGAGCCCCGCACAGCCAGTGGAGAGGCGCTTGTGACTGTCCTGTGTTCTGGTGCATCTGCTCTGTGCGGTGGCAGGTGGACAGGGGCCGCTGCCCGGTGCCCTGAGTTGTACTCAGACTGGCCTCACGTTTGATTGCTGTCCAAACCCCTACCCAGGCCACCTGCCCAGCAGGTGCCTACCCTGACTTTTCCCCTGCTCTCCAAGAGGAGCGGCCCATGGCCTGTGTTGCCTAGGCCAATAGAGGCTGCATAGAGGCTTGGGGAGTGTTCGTTATCAGGGGTGTGGAAGAGACCTGGAATGCTGAGCACTGGAAGCAGTAGGGGTTCTCCCAGAACAAACTGTCCTTCCTTGTAGCACTTAGAACTGGACCTAGAATGCATTAACATGCTTTATTCTCTGCCATCTGCCATCCCAGAAACCAGTCCTTCTGGAACAGAAATTTGCCCCATTTGGGGATCTAAAGCACACTAGTGGCAGGACACTGGTGTGGAGTCCAGGTGCCTTCAAGTGGGTCTCACTGCCCAGCTGGTTGTACGCTCTGGGACGGGGTGTGTTCTGTCGGTAAGAAGGGCAGGCTCTGGAGCTGCCTCTGGGGTACGGAACGCATACAGCTGGGGAACGGAAGGGGGCACACTCAGCAGGTGCCAGACAGGTGTGAAACCTGAGACTCCGGCATGCCCCTTTGTGAGATAGAAGCTAACAGGAGCTGCAACACGGTAGGTAAATCCTTCTCCGTCCTCTGCAGCTGTGCACCAACCAGTGCGTCTGGCTTTGAGTTCATTTTTATTCAAGGAATTTGTAAAGGCCTGGGCACAGATGAGTCTGCAGTGGGGAGCAGGAGCCATTTATAAATCGCTTTGGTGGCTGAGGAAGGAAGTGCACGTCCCAACGCGGGGCAGTCCAGGCTGTGTGTGTGGCCCCCGAGCCTGTGAAGGTGTGAGGGTGATTTTCAGCTCCTGTTTCTCCTTACTGTCCAACACCAGGTGCGGTACCTTTTGGAGTGGACGGAAGAGGACCTGGACGAAGTGGAGGATGCTGTCGGTGTGGTGGATCTTGAATTCTGTCACCCCCTGTGCCAGTGCCCCAAATGTGCTCCAGCTCAAAAGGTTTGGCTTTGCCTCTGTTAGAAGTGGGGAGGCAAATTCTTTCCTCCCCTTTGGAAAGTCATCCACTGCTCATCCAGATAACCAGTGCGGGGCTATGAGAAGGGGTCTCCTGAGATGTGCCGGGGACTAACCAGCTGAGGGTGGGAAGAAACCAGCACCAGGTCGGGATGTGGCTTGGGCTGCCCGAGTTCTGCGCTGGCAGGTGAGTGGGCTGGCACATCCCCACCGCTTAGGTCTCAGCTGCGCTCCGGGCCCCGGTAGCAAGGCAGGAGTTTATGAGCAGAGGCACCTGAGGGTGTCTGTCCCTGTGCTCGAGTTCCTTTGCTCGGTTGGTTGGTTCGCCCTTCCTGGGGATCCTTGTGCTAGTAAAGAGAGATCCCTTGGACCTTTAACTCAGTTTCCCCCAAGGCAGGCATCTTGCAAAATACAGTAAGAAAATCACAACCAGGATGCGAATATAATCCACTGATCTTGAGATTTTCTGTTTTACTTGTGCTTATTTGTGCGTTTAATTTTATACAGTTTTGTCACACTTGTGGACACTTACAGGTTTGCATATCCACAGTAACATTCGAGAACAGTTTTCTCAACACAAGAAGAATCACTCGTGTCCTTTTGTAACTGTACCTAACCCTCTCCCCGTCACCCCCGCCCCCTTTGGCCTGACCCCTGGGAACCACTAATTGGCCTGTGCCTGTCCTCCCAGCTACTTAGCTCTGCGTGCTGGGAGTGCACAGTGCACCGCTGTGCCTGGCCATGAGTTAACTTTATACAAGTTGTGAGATTTGTGTTGAAGTTGTTTATTTGCCTGTGGATGTCCACTTGCTCTGACGCCTCCACGGAGTGGCTGTTGCACCTCAGTTGTATCATCTATTTGTGGGTTCTTCGCTCTGTTCCTTGATCTGTGTCGCTCACACTGGTGCACAGTCTCCAGTGCTCTGTAGTGAGTCTTAACACTGGGCAGATTGCATCCTCCTAATCTGTACTCTTCTGCTAGGATTGTGGTAGCTCTTCTAGGGCCCGGGCCTTTCCATCTACATTTGATAATAAGCTTGCATATGCTTACAAAAAAAAAAAAAAAAACCTCTGGGATTTTGATAGGAATTACATTAAATCTATATAGATTGGGGAAAAATAACACCTCTGTGATGCAGAGTCATCAGGGAACATGGCCCATCTCTCCAAGTACTGTGGCCTGGGATTTCTTTCAACATTTTGTGATTTGTAGCATACATACCCTGCCTTTTGTGGAAGTACTTCCTTTTGAGCAGTTGCTGTGTGTCTCCTGTGTACTTCTGTGTAGCTTACTAGAGGTGTGAACATCCCCTTCTAAGAAAATGAATTTGCCTTCACAAAAGAGTGGTGTTTTCCTGTTTTGAGACGATACCTTATTAAGACAGCTTCAAAAAATAGGGAAAAAAAAAAAAAAGACAGCTGTGGGGTTACTCTACCCTAAGAATGCTGAAAACACCTACAGGTTTCATCCACCTGCAGCTTTCATTTGAGGCTAAGCTGGCCACTGAGGATGTGCCGGTTGGATCTGTCCCCGAGCTGCTGGGTGTGTGCACTCCGTCCCCAGACCCATCTCCTCAGGCGGCTGCTGTGAAAAGCAGGAGCTGAGAGGCAGATGCTGTTCCAGGGGAGCCTGGTGGCGGCGTGCGGGCGGCCAGCAGCACTTACCGTGTCCTTGCTTCTGTTCTCTGTTGTTTACCTACTTGCTGTGCTTCTAGCCCACAGCTCACAAGTTGTAGCAAAGAAATGGGAGACTTGTTTGGATAAAGTCTTACACTCCCTGCTCCCCTAAAACCCCCTTGATAAACATCTTTTTAAGTTCTCAAAGACTGACCATTTGTTTACTTGTCTTTTCTGTGAAAGGGTCTCCTCAGATCTTCTGCCTATTTATTTATTAAGATGGACTATCTTCTTGAGCTTTTTTTAAAAATTAAGTTCTGGTTGATCCAAGTACTTTGAGATCTACGTATTGCAAACATTTTTCCCCATTCTGCAACTTGCTCTTTCATCTTCTTAATCAAGTCTTTCAAAGCGCAAACATTTAAAGTTTTTATTAAGTCCAGTTTATCAAGCTTTTAGTTTTTGCATCTTCTCTAAGGAATCTTTATCTACCCCAGTACTGTAAAGATTATTTCTTTTCTTTTTTTTGGGCATGAAGTCTCAATATGTCCAGATTGGATGGACTTGAACTTGCTATGTAGTTCAGGCTGGCCTTGAACTTGTGACCCTCCTAACTCAGCCTCCCAAGTGCTTAGATTACAGATGTGTGCCACCATGCCTGGCTAAGAAGCTTCGTAGTTTATAGCTGGGCATGGTGACACATGCCTGTTATCCTTGCACGCAGGAGGGTGAAGTGGGATCACCACAAGTTTGAGACCAGCCTGGGTTACATACTGAGTTCAAGACCAGCCTAAACTACATAGTTATACTCTGTGTATTAATAAATAAATAAGCAAGCTTTATAGTTGAAGCTTTTACTTGTCTGTGATGGCTGTTGATTTCTGTGTTTGGAAGGAGAAAGGGCTGATGTGCCACATTTCCCTGTGTGGATAGCCAGTTGTTCCAGCACCAGCACTGACTTACCTTGTTGAATCACCTGGTATAACAGGGCATCGTTTCAGCAGGCTTGCTTATTAAAAATAGAAGTTAATCATTTGGTATATCACATCTTTCTAAAGTAAAAGGGGAGCCGAGACTTTATCTCAGCAGCACAGCGCCTGCCTGGCAAGTGTGAGGTTGAAAGTTCAATCCTGGTACCCGCCCCCTCAAAAAAAAGTAACAGGGATTCATCTAGAGACGTGATTCTGGATCCCACTGTGATCCCGCATTCTTCACAGGAGCAGGGATGGCGGGCAGATGGCCTCTATTCCTTCAGCTTGGTTTGTGGACATTAATGACATTTCTGTTTCATGTCTGAAATTACTAGAAGCTGGCAAAAATTCCTGCCAGTGGGCTTGGGGTGAATGTGACCAACCAGGACGGCTCTTCCCCGCTGCACGTCGCTGCCCTGCATGGTCGAGTGGACCTCATCCCCCTCCTGTTGAAGCATGGTGCCGACCCGAGTGCCAGGAACACAAACCAAGCTGTGCCCCTCCACCTGGCCTGCCAGAAGGGCCACTTTCAGGTATGGGCTCTGTCTCTCAGGTGGCGTGGAGGTGCTTGCTCCTGGATGAACTCACTGGGTGGGATTGTGCAGAGGGCCGGGGCTCAGGGGCAGCAGCAGGACTCCTTTCTTCCGCCCTGAGATTAGAGATGCATGTGCCCCGCTGCAGCAGAGCACAGAACTGTGGTCCTCTCTCAGGAAGAGCCAGCCCTGCTCCACTGCCATTTACATCTGGGGTGGAGGGGTCTCATTCTGAGCCGTCTCCTATGCTCAAGTGTTGGGTTACCTTACCACTTTATGTCTGTGCCGAACAGCTCAGTAAGGCATGGCCCCGTAAGAGGGGTTCAAGAAAAAAGTTGGGAGTGATTGATCCTGTGGTTTTGGGGGAAATTACCTATGTGTATATTCTTTCATTTTCCTCAGTTCCACTGTAAGCTTACAGACCAGTCCATGTCGCCCCTGAACTAGCAGAGTGCTTCTGGCTCCAGCTCCCTAATCTGTTTGATTGGAGTTGTGATCCCAGCTCTCCGCAGGCAAGAGATAAAGATGAAGTGGAAACAGTGGTGCCCAGCACACTGCCTCGGAGCCAATGTCCCTCCCCTCTCCGTTGCTGTCCTTTCTCCCGAGGGTCAGCCGCATCTGAAAATCCTCAATTAAGCTTAGAGAAGAGTCAGTTTCAAGTTAGAGGGTTTCTTCTTATAAATGTTAACTGAGGTTGAAACTTTTTTCCTGCCTAGGTGGTGAAATACCTACTGGATTCTAATACAAAACCCAATAAGAAGGATTTAAGTGGAAACACACCCCTCATTTATGCCTGCTCTGGGGGCCATCACGAAGTCGCAGCACTGCTCTTACAGGTCAGGGCCCCTCCCACTGCCCACGATTCTGCCAGGCGGGTGGGTGAAGGCCTCAGCGCCCATGCGGTGTGTCAGGGCTCGGCCCTGAAGACTTCGGCTTTTTCTCAAGGTCTGGCCTGGCCGGATTTCCCACTGCTGCACCAAGGTGTTATTTGCAAGTCAAGCCAAGTGGTCTTGGTTCTCTGCCACTCTCTCCTCTTGCTGCATGTTACTGTCCATGGCAGAGCAGAGTCTAAAGCAGCAGGAAAACCTGGCTCGTCCATAACCTTCCTGCTCAAAGCAACTCATTATGGTGGACTTTGAAAAATGCGTGTGGTTTAGATCAGTGAAGTTTTCCATTTAATGTAGAAAACTGTTCATTAAAGCCTTGACTTTTAATGGTCAAGTACCTACTGGATGTACCACAGTAGTTTTAAATTTTTTTTGGTGATACTGGGGATTGAACCCAGGGGCATGCTACCACTGAGCTACGTCCCCCAAACCCTTTCTAAAATTTTCTGAAATGGAGTCTTGCTAAGTTGTCTGTACACTACACTTGACCTTGTGATCCTTCTGCCTCAGCCTCCCCAGTAGCTGTGATTATAGGCATGTGCCATTTTTTTTGAACTATTACTGATCTGTACATTTAAGTGGTTTGTTTTTTCTGTTGTAATGGTAAGTGCTGCTGTGAACATCTTTGTCCATCAATCTTTTTTCTTAGACTTTCAGAAGAATTTCAGAGATACGGAAAACAATTAAGTACTACATACTTACCACCTAGATTCTGCATTCGCATTTTGTCCCATGAATCTTGACTCTGCTGTTTCTCTTTCTAGCATGGGGCCTCCATTAATGCTTCTAACAATAAGGGCAACACAGCCCTGCATGAGGCTGTGATAGAAAAGCACGTCTTCGTGGTGGAGCTGCTTCTGCTTCACGGCGCTTCGGTGCATGTCCTCAACAAGCGACAGCGCACAGCTATAGACTGCGCCGAGCAGGTGAGCAGGGACAGCCGGAGATCTGGGGTCCCAAGCTCCCCTGCAGCTCAGTGTTGGAATAAGATTCTTAATAGCCACAGCCACTGAGATTTTTAGAACTGGTGTGCCAGACACCTGCTTGTGTCCCTGGTCAGGACACGGCAGCTCAGGGAGCCAGGAACTGTCCTTTCAGGGGTAGCTTTCCAAGGGCTGGCTGCAGGTGCCCCCACCCTCGGCCCCAGTAGGTGCCCTCACACCCTCACTGCGCAGCTAGTGCTTGAGGGGAGTAGTGAGGTACAACACCCTGGTTCCACTGGTCCCTGAAGCTCGATGCAGAAAGCGTGTTGAGTTTGTGGGTTTCGAACTCGAGTTCTGTGAGAAGCGTGACTGCAGTTTGCCACTCTTCAGTGCGGTGGGTGTTTGTCATGGACAAAGGTGAGACGCCCTCGTCTCTTGGGAGAAGGTAGCTCTTTCTGCTCTGGTTTTCACAGTGAATCTTCATCTAGTTTTCTACTCAGAATGGACAGCTGGAAAGCCTGTCAAATGATCGAAGTGGGATGTTGGCGTCCCCATGAACCCAACTCAGCAATAGACCTCTTGATTTTTAATTTCCAGTGACCTTTCTTTAACAGAATGGAAGTATTTTAGTTTAATACTTTTTCAAATGCTGTGCTTTATTGAGTACTTATTATGTGCTGGTCCTATTATCACCATCCCAACGACATGGAGCAGTTACAGCCACAGCCTCAAGTGCCCTGCAGAGCACAGCCAGGCTGCAGATACAGGGTTGCCTTTATCACTGGGCTTTCTGGCCTCAAAATTTTGTTTGTAGTTGCTTCTGAGCTTTTTTTTTGGTCTAGCCACACTAACACTTAAAGAGAAAACAAGTAATAATCTGCTAAGAAAAGCTAAAAAATTGTGTTACATTTTTCCCTTTTAAATTGTAGAATTCAAAAATAATGGAGTTACTTGAAGTAGTCCCAAGCTGCGTTGCCTCATTAGAGGATGATGCCGAAACAGACCACAAGGACAGCGTGACTGTTAAGATCAGGAAGAAATGTAAGGACTTACAGTCTTGAACTCTTCACTTGGGTCTGTTTGGAAATTCACGGGTAGCTAATGGTTTTGACTGTGAGTGTGAAACGTAATTGTCATGACTGGGAGGGACATAGGAACCACAGAAGTGGATGTCACATCCTGAGTTTTCCGATGAAGGGAGAGCAAAGTGTTTTAAAATTAGCTCTCTGGCTGATTGTTAGGCTGTTCCCTGAGGAAATAAGGTAGATACTCTCAGCTTGCCTGAAGGTTTAGGCCTCCACTTACCACATGGCAAGGAGAGACCTCTGGTAGATTCTCTCATGCCTCGTGCCAAAGCCAGGTGCTATGCACATGTCCTGGACACCCAGGGTAATGCTACCTTTAAAGTTTTCTGTTTGCCTGTTTTGTTTTCCAGCTAGGCAAGTGCTCTAGTGCTGGGCTATTGCCCCATCCCAGTACGTGCACACAGCTTGATGGTAATTAGAACAGCAGTGACCAAACAGCGGAGGGACTGAAGTATTTTCTTTTCTGAAAGTTAAAAAAGTGTCCTTGTTCTATTTTTTTTTTTTTTTTTCCCGGTACCTGGAGTTGAACTCAGGACCCTGTACTTGCCAGGCAGGCGCTGTGCCACTGAGGTACATCCCTGGCCTCTCAATCAGATTATGTGTCTGCAGTGCAGTGATACACATAACCTACTCTATCTGGTGATCCTGGGGCTGCCACATCATGGGCTGAGTGTCAGTGTAACAAGGAGTTTTTTGTCTTGCAGGGGTTCACATAATAGATAGGTATCTGCTACGTTTCTTTAAGCACCATTTTCTATATTGTGTTAAACTAAAGAAAATGGGGGTTTGTTTAAACCATTCTGAAGATTTCAAATATTTATCCTTTCATTTACAGGGAACTCAAAAATGTATGATCTACCAGATGAGCCTTTTACAAGACAGTTTTACCTTGTTCACTCAGTTGGTCAGTTTAAGTGAGTATAAAACTGAGCTTGATTTCTGTGCTTTTGACCCAGCAGTTTATATGAACGGAAGCTGCATATATGCAGCTTTTAATCTGCAGTACAACTATCACCCAGTGCTGCCACCTTGTGACCAACCAGTGTTTCAACCCAATATCCCAAATACTTATTCTGGGTTAATATTGTTTATTTCGGGTTTTAGGGAAAGGACTTCAAGGGAGATTATAGCAACAGATAGAAGTGTCCCTAATTTTACAGAAGGTTCTTTGCATGAGGTGAGTTAGTAAAGCCTGGCTTTAGTATTATTTTAAAAAGCCTGCGTTTTTCAGACGTAATCCATGGTAAACAATTTTTTCTTGGTAGTCTTCTTCATTAGTGGGGTTTCCTGCTAAGGAACAGGTCTCCAAACAAAGCCGTAGGATATTAAATATGATATTAACATTAGTCACTTTAGTAGAAATCACTCTTTGAAAATATGTTTAAAACGTTAGGTACATTTGTTCCAGTTAGCCTCTCAGCGGCACTAAGGCATTTTTCTGAGACTACTTCACTGTAGCATAGACTGTGAGTCAGGCTTCTTTTCATAACTGACTAAATAATACAGCAGAGAGATGGTCACATAAAGAGCAGTCCAGATAAACAATGTGATACCTTATTTAGAGATCACTGTTTACCCATGACTTTTCACTTTGCGCTCATTTTCCTTTCTCCACGTGGAAATATATTTTTAAATAGATCAATGAAATCTTACTGCAGGCTGTCTGTCCTGCTAAAGAACCACGCTTTCAGGGCTGGGGGTGCAGCTCAGCGGTGGAGCACTTGCCTGACATAAGCAAGGTCCTGGGTTTCGCTAAATGTGACAGTGAAGGGAACCATGGAGTAGGGAGAGCGACAGAGCTGAAGAATTAAGACAACACAGAAAGCACTAACTATGCGTGTGACGTGTGTAACATGCACACGTCACGCCATCAGGGATGCTAGACCTGGCATGATGCCCGTAGAGTGAGTGCTGAGCACATGGTCTGACACAGCAACCCTCACAGGTGGCTGCTGTTGACATCAGCACAGACATAAACTGAACTGTACCTTCTCTTTAGCCAGAGAGGCAAAGAGTCCCACAGAAACAGTCACCTGCCAGAGCAGAGCAGACTGCAGACGGCTAATGAAGGAAGCGACGACCTGCCCAAGGAGAGGCCCGGATTGAAGCAGTCAGCTCCTGGGAACCGGCGAATGGTCCGCAGGCACACGGTTGATATCGCGGTTGTGCCCAAGGAGCCAGAGACTGTGCTAGAGGCTAGTATCTCCCAGCCTCAACAGTTTGTTGAAGCTGCTGCAAGCGAGCACACAAGAAGATGACACTCAGCATGAATGCAGCTTACTCCTAAGTATACTTTTAAATAAGTGGCTTGAGACTTTGTCTTCAGAAGGTTCCCGAAAGCTTTTCTGTGGCTAAAATAATAAATGCAACAAAAACTTTTCTCATCTCTCCTCAAAGCTAATGATGAATACACTTGAACAGGAATGGACAGAAATTCTGGTAAGTGTCCAGCTCCTTCATCTGAGGTGTGTGTTTTTAAGTTAGGATTTCCTGGCTACAGGGAGAGGTTTCACTGTCAGATTCTGACCTCCTTCTACTGCAAGGTGCTAAACCTCTGTGATAAATTAGCAAACTGTAGGGCAAGAGAATCCCCTCATCTGGGATAAGCCAAGGAGCAGCAACTTTGGTTTCATGGTATTGTGGAGGCCAGGCAGAAAAGTCACACGGAAATGAAGAAAATATTCCCTGCAAAGCAACACCTGGATAAAAAGATGCCTAAATGCCATTGTGACGTTCATCTCGGTGAGCACATGTAAGAACTGTTCTACACCACGCATATGGAGAAAGTTGGGTGGTTTTTCTCCCGACAGACAGACATTTGGACACTGCATGTATGCACCCCTAGCGTGCTCCCAGAAATATCCCTTTCCGTTAAGAACCATCTCCCTTAAAGGCGGGGGATGGGGCTCAGTGGCAATGCACTTGCCTAGTATGAGTGAGTCCCTGGGTTTGATCCTCTGTACAAAAAAACTAAATAAAATTGAAAAAAGAACCTCTTAAAGGTCACACCTAACGGATGGTTACTAGAGAGTAGCTTTGGCACATCTTTCCTTAAGTCTTTTGATTCAGATTCAAAACTTACAGCACAAACCAGGTCAATGTTACTTTATGTTAGAATTTATTGCCATGTATTACTTTTTATAAATTTCTATAGATTATAAATCTGTTATTTTTTTATGTTATTGGCCTAAAGCTACAAACATGGGCTCATCCTCAGTACGTTTTCAAATAACTTTTTAATAGGGAAATGGTTTTGTGCACGTTCTTGGAAATACTTGTGTATGTACAGAAGGGAGGGAGTGGTTATTTTTCTACAAAGTAATTTATGATTTCTAATTTTCTAATGTGCCTTGGGTATGTGCCAAACGATGGAAAAGAAATAGTAAACTTTATGATTCTTGAGTGTGTCATGGTATACTTTTTTAACGTTTCATTTTCCACGTACACGTATGTGAAAAACACTGACAGCACATCATTTCCCATCCACCTCACTGGGCTGAATCACTGTAGTTGAATAAACAAATATCTAAGAACATTTAAAATTTTTTTTTAAGAAACAAGATTGTCACAGAATAAAATCCAGGGATTTTGAAAAAAAACCTCAATGACAGGTAAATTTTGCTTTTGATTTTATTTACAGTGCTAAGGGTACAACATATTTGGAGGGTTCCACAAGAAGTTTCACTCTAAAACTATAAGGATAACTATAATACAGCTTCTTACTACAAACAGAAAATAAGCACTGTTGCTTTGCTAATTTCCTTTTCTTTGTTCTAATTTGTTTTTCCAACTTTATTAATTTGCAGTACTGGAAAGAAAACCCAAACTTGATTTGATAGTTCAAAATTTGGTAACACCAATATGTTTTTGTATAAAAAATTGGGTTTGCATTCAAAGTATCCCCAGCCACTGATTTAATTAGAAAGTTTAGAGTTACCGTCCCTGGACATTCCCTAGACTAAAATGTACTCCACCCTTATTGCCTTCAGAAACCTCTACCTTCTACATACAGCCACTTTTCACTCTCAGGTATCTCGGAAAAATCTGAATACTGGAATCTGTCAGCAGCTGACATCAGAGTAGTGTTTTCTTTTTTGCAGAATGTTGTTTGAACTCCGGGTCTCACATGTGCTAGGCAGGCACTCTACAACTAAGCTATATCCCCAGCCCTTTTTAGAAATTTTTGAGGCTGGGTCTTGCTAAGTTGCCAAGAGAAAGGACACAACAAAACCTGCTGAGAATTTTCTAATGTCCTAGTATTTTTATGTAAATAAAGCCCAAAGCAAAATTTACCTGTAATTGGAATTTTTTTCAAAATCTCTGAACAATTTTGACAGTCTTGTTTCTTATAAAAAAATACTGCTCTTAACGGTTCTACTCATTTGTCTGTGTATTTGGGAACAGGGAGGCACTTGCTCAAATACTGCAACGTGGTGCTGGGACGGAACCAGAGCCTCCCACATGTGCAGCAAGTGCTCCACCACTGGGCTGCACAGCACTCCTAGCCCCTCCACTGACTTCTTTCATTGGCCATAGTTACAAATTTCAAATATAGTAAAATCTCAAATATAGTTTAAATGTCAGCAGTGTGCTGACCAAAGGAGAGACTGGAATCATAAACTGCATTCCCATCACTTTTCTGCTAAGCCGCCTCATCTTATTTTTTTTTTTTGGTTTTGGTTTTTCTCCGGTACCAGGAACCAAACTCACGACCTTGCGCCTGCCAGGCAGGCGCTTTTGCCGCTGAGCTAAATCCCCAGCCCCCCGCCTCATCTTGTTATGGAACTACTCCTGGGCTGAGTTTCATAGCACTAAAACATTTAAAAGTTTGTAACAACAGCTTAGCTGGTAGCTGTTTATGATTAAGTGTGTGGGAAAGGTTTTCATAGCCTGGTGGCAGTAAAGCCCAGTATGAGACGACACCTGCCTTAAGTCACCTCAGCTCTATCACTAGAGAACCTGGAATGTTTCTGCCAGACCACAGAACAGCTGAACTGTCAAAAGCTGGGCGTCAATCATTAGAAGCCACTTCTCTTACAAACATGTTTATCACTGAATATTACCGCCAGAATGTTCTTGTTTTGATTTTATCAATATCACACTAGTTATTTTGGATGGGCGCTATAACATGTTAGACAACAATCTCAGTGCCTTTCAAAAACAGACTTTTCTTTCATTAAATACAAAAGCTTCTGTTTTTCTTTTATGATATTTCCTTTACCTAATAAAATGTCACACCTGAAAAGGACATACACATTCAGGCTGCCGCATATTTGAAAGTGAAAACAATTTTAAAAGCAAATCTAGTCACTTGACTGTAACACTAAAACAACCTACCCAAGTGCTTTATTTTGCATAACAAGTTTATTTTTTGAAAGGCCTATAGACAAAACAAAGTAAACATTTAAGCAGATTTTAACTTCTGCCCTAGAAGTGTTCCATTAAGTTTCAGTCTCTAAACATTTTTAGTTCAGTAATCGTCATCTTCGTCAGAGTCCATTACTTTTCTTCTGTTGAACTAGAGGGGAAATTAAATGAGTGTCATAACATGTTCAATAACTACTATGTTTTTAGAACTTAGTGAGCAAAGTGGGAAACAGTTGGAGGGCAAAAACTGTATCACACCCCCCTCAACATCTTCAGCCTTTCTTCCCAAACTTCCACGTGTTACAACATGACACTGTGAGCTGGGAGATGCTCTAATACACAGCAGCAGATGTACGGTCAACACTTAACATTTAAAATAGCAGCCTTTTCTTCTGCCACATGCACTTGGGGAAACTTACTTTAACCGTTGTTTTCTTTTCTGTTTGTTGGCTTACTTTTTCAAGGATTTCTATTAAACCTTGTTCTGAGACCTAGGGCACCAGAAAGAAGAATATTTTCAAGCAGTCTTTCTAGGGTGTGAGAGAGGAGGTCATGAGGGAGAGAGAGGTAAAGGAGGAGGGTCAAACTACTGGGATAAGTTCCAAATAAAATTGACTTTGCTACTCCTCAGCTAAGGAGGGGGGAAATACCTATCTATTAAGTAGTTTCTAACATCTTTATCACCACTGGCAGACAATGCAAACCACATCTGTTACTGTATTAGATGACGGAGTAGATAGCACCTCTGCTCAAGAGACGCTTAGCAGAGATGTCACCCTTAGAAAATCAAATGTCTCCCCCCTCCCCCTCTTAACGTGAGGGACTCAGTGGGAAGCAAGGGGCTCTCTGCGACAGATGGGGCCTGTGTGGGTGCTGAAGGAAAGTTAAGCTTGCCATAATACTACACCCCCTACTATCATTACACACGTAGTAACTAAAGGATTTTAGTGCCTCCTCATTTGCAAAACAAGCCTAATTTGTACTACACTGGTAGAATTTTACTTGGTAGTACTGACAATCTTTGTTTCCATTGCAGGAGCAATTTAAGCTATCAGACCCTAATTAGTCACTCGATCAAAGAGACACCAACAAGGTTTCACAGCAATGCCAGGAACAGAACAGAGCCTTTTAGGAAAAGCAATGATCTTTTAGAATTTATGGCACATATGACTTCTTTCTCCTTTAAAAATTTCTTCATAGTCAAATATTCTGTAATAAGATAGGAATTTGACCTGGTGAAGCCATGTTTTGGAAAAGTAGGTAATAGGTAAAGTTCCCTCAAGAAAGCCCAAGCTTACCTTTCCACTTAGCTGTCCGTATCTTGCCATCTGTATAAGGTAATTCTCTACTGCTTTTGTTTTTTCAGGTTTTACAAGTGCTAAGTTACTTACTAAAAAGAAAAACAAAACAGAACCAAAAAATATGCAAAAAGGTAACAAAATGAAATGTGCTTATCCCTTAAAATTAAACACTGCCATTTCCGAAGTGCTTCCCAAGCTCGTTTACTTGTTTGTGGCTCAGCACAGCAGGTGGAGCAGATGGTACCGTCACCCCTCTTATAGAGGAGGAAACTAAAGTTCAGCCATGTCGGTGTCAGGCAGTCACACAGAGGTGGTGTAGAGCTGGCATTAAACTTGGGTCCTCAGTTCTAAACCCCATACTTTCCGTTTGTTAAAATGTATGACTGCCTTCTGAAAAGCACGTTATCCACAGTGGCCTCTTCTCAACTCAGATGGTCTTCAAGTTATAAGAGAAGACACCAGTTCATGCTGATTTTTACAGTTTTCATTCTACATTTTTTTAAATGGAAGACTCTGAACACTAAAACCGAGAATACAGTCAGTCTCTGAGTCCCCATCACTCACATCAAGTTCCTGCAACACAGTGACTCTCTTTAAGAGTGGGTCCCTGTAAATTTTACCTGAATTTAGGAATTTACCTGCCCTAGGAGAATATCTTGGTAAGAAAAGAACTAAGCTGGCAATTTTAATAATGCTTTAAACATACTTTTCTAGGTTTATAAACTTCATATTTCTTACAGATAATGCGTATCTCAAGTGTTTTTAGATTAAACAAATACTTGATCTATACATAGCAACAACTGCATATCTATCTCCCCATTCAAGCAACTCAAGCCAATTTTATGAAAATAAAGGAATGTGAAGGTGCTTACACCTGGCCCGGGCTGATTGATCCAGAACTTGGGCTAAGATACTGTTTCTCATTTCTGCTTCCCTACAAAAAAACACAGGCGAAGCAAAATTAGATCAAAGCTGTCAAATGCCTACTGAACACACAAAAACATAACTCATTCAATGTTTCTTAAGCACTCCATCAGGTGCTTTTGCCTTCAAAGAGCCTGCTTTATATAATATAGGTGAAAACCTACCAGGCTGGCAGGAAACCTCTTATTCTTGTAATTACATTGGAGATTCAGTTCAACCACCATTACCAACATTTATTAAGTGCCTAGTATGACATGCTAGAAATCTGTAGTGGGATTTCAGGCAACTAGAAGGACCAAGCAATTCATCTGTGTAATTTCCTTAGCAGTGAACCGCACATCCACGGAAGCTACATTAAAGAGATAAAGGTGATAGTCGCTCTGCTAAAACCAGATCCAGTGTTTTATTCTTTTTCTTTTTTTGGTACTGGGAATTGAACTCAGGACCGTGCGCTTGCCAGGCAGGCACCTGTGCCACTGAGCCATATTCCCGACCCCTAGATTCAATGTTTTCAAGATTCTCAGTTCTACTTTTTGGGTGGGGAAGGGGAATGAAATTCTAACTCTGCAACTGTCCTACTTACGCAGATGGGAAACTAGTTCATGTTCACAGAGTAGTGGTTTCAAACTTTTTTTAAGTAGTTTTTTTCATTTTTCTCAAATGAAGCCTTTCAGGTAATAATCTAGTAACACAAAACAAACAACAGCAGAGATGCTTGAGCTGAATTGGAGGAGTGCTGGGGGAGCTGTGCCCATTATCCATCCCAGCTTAGGAGCTGTTAGGGCTCATGGAAACAAAATATGTAACTAAAGGCCATTTCCTCATAGACTGAGTAGTTTGGCTCTGTCATGATCTACTGAACTGGTTTTTTTGAGACTGGGTATCACTGTGCAGTTCATACTGGCCTTCAACTCACTACTGTAGCCCAGGATGGCTTCAAACTCGCAGTCATACTCCTGCCTCAGCCTCCAGAGTGCTGGGATTACACGTTGTGCACACACCAGAACGGGCAATATTTAACTAAATGCCCCATAGTTTTATGTATCTGAGAATGAAAATAAAAAACAACCTGTACATGAGGGATCTACTAAGAAACCCCAGTCAAAGCCTGGATACCAAAGTGACATCCTCAGCACAAGGGAAACAGAATAAAGCAATAGTTGGGAGGCCTGCATGTATCTGGAGGGAGAAAAAAAGACAAAAAGTTTCTCTGAGAATTTGAACTTAAAACTAATCTAGTTTTGTAGCACTGCTATCTGAATTCACAATTCCTGAGGGGAGGCAGGGGAAAATCTCAAGCACAGAACTTAATTTCGAAAGCTCTGGATACAAAATTTGCTAAGAGATGACAGAGGCAGAAGCAAGCACTCTGAAAGACACAGAAGACCCATCAGTTATAAATGCATCCCAATTTCTGGTGTGAAATGGTAAGAAAACGCACCTCTAAGCATCAATGAAACTCGAGTACTTTACTGTCTTTGTAGCAGGACTCCAGGTGCTCCCATCACTCTTCTCCTGAACTGGCTCCACCTTGCATATTTCTGCAGACCCAGTGTAATACCCCACCCAAAGCAGGTACCCAACTGAATGAATGCAGTTAAAAGACAGCACACAGGGGAGGAGGAGACAGAGCGCTGGTCAATAAATGTAGCTCATGACATGAACCGAGTGAACACTACACAACTGTACACTCAAACATAGCTGCAATAGGGAATTTTGTTTTCTACCACCATTTTTAAAAAAGGGTAGTATGCTAGAACAAAAACATTCAGTAAACCTGCCACTGGGTGTGGGGCGTTTTGCCATGTACGGCTCTGGGATAAAACAAGAAAAGTGTAGTATCTGTTGAATTGCTCAAAGGGAAGGAACAACTGGAATGAGGGAAAGGAAAAAAGAAAGAAGGGAAAAATATATATGTATATAAGGATAACTGGGGTAACTGTACTGCTGATGTCTACTGGTTTATTGAAAGGAACAGTTAATGCTTAAATTTTTTGGACCAATTTTGCATGATTATATCTGGTAATCTGAACAACTAATTTGAAGACAATATCCAATATAAGAACCACTGTTGAATTCCTACCATCCTGTTTAGTGAAGTTCTGTATCGCTTCTAAGGTTTTCTAAAATTATTTTTATTCTCTTTCTTATAATTTTCACCTCTAATAAATTTATAAAAGTTCAAAAAAAAATCTTTTGAACACTTGCTCTGAGGCACCACACCTATGTAACTCTCACAAGAGCCCTATCAGCTACAGTAGTTCATTATGCACTGAACTGTGTAAGGCAATCACAGTGAAGGACACTAAACAGTAACTGCAATTCAAGGAGTCAAGTGGGGCTCTGCACATTTAATTAACAGAAAAACCAAAGATACCCTGATGACAATTCAAGGGAAGATTACCATGCTAACAAAACCTTTAAAATTCACACACCTGTTAACATTCCTAAAGAGGGAAAAAACCCCAATTGGTGAAACTGCCCTTCAAAACGTTCCCAGCCCTTACCTGTGCTTTGCTTCCTGCTGTGCTGCATCATTTGGATCCTGGGGGGGGAAAATGTAACCTTTAAATAGTGTGATTTCTGATAAGAGGTTCCTAAAGCGGTAGAGAGCTTATGTAATAATTACAAACTGGGGCTCACAAAAGTCAGTGAGATGGTTTCCGCTTCTTTTGTATTGGGCACTGAACCCTAGGTCTTCCTGCTGAGCCTTATTTACCACCCCTTCTTATTTTGAGACAGGGCCTTTTTAAGTCGCTCAAGCTGGACTCAACCTTGAGATCCTCGTGCCTCAGCCTCCTAGAATGCTGGGATTACAGGCCTGCGCCACCATGCCCAGCTGCTTTTAATGTATCTTTTTTGGTTGTCTGCGGGTGCTGGAGATCAAACCTAGGGCCTCATGAATTCTAGACAAGAGCTCTACCACTCAGCCACACCCCTAGCCCCCACTTAAAATGTTGTGGTGCATTTCTAAAGTCACAACCTCTAAGTCTGGGAATGCGAATTAACCTTGGGGGCTGGAAATGTAGTCTGGTGGTGCGCATTTACTTAGCATGCTAGAGGCCCTGGGTTCAATTCCTAGTACAGCAAGCATATAAGCAAGCAAGCGAGCAGGCGGACAACCTTGAAGGAGAATCCCTGTACTAGCAAATCGTATTTCCGTGCAAGAATAACCTCTGCAAAATAAAACGTGCCCGATTTGCAAACGCGCTTCCCTCGCGACTACCCTCTCGCTCTGCCTACAGGCGTTTCCGGAGGACTCCAGGAAGATCAGCGTTTACTGTCTGGACCCCCAACTCCCGCTGTAAACCGCGTCGGGGCGGAGGTTCCGGTCCGCGCTGTACCCACAGCACCTAGAACTCAACAGACCCGAAAATAAATGCTGTCTACTCGGGTCAGAGCCGCTCAATTCTACACTCCGGCGGCCCGCGGGGACCCTGCCCCAGCACGGGCCCCGCAAGTGCCCGGCGCCCGCCCGGAACCCACGGGCGGGTAGGCGCGGGCCTCGGGCCGGGAGGCCGCGGAGGAGTCCGTCGCGCGTGGGGCAGACACCGCGAGCCTCGCCGGAGGCCAGGGCCTCCAGGCCGGGTGAAGGAGACAACCGTCAGCTCACCCCGTGTTTCGCCTGCAGCTCGGCCAGCCTCTGCTTCCTCAGCGCCTCCAGCTCTTCGTCCGCCATGGCGCGACTGTCGCGCGGAAGCTGCCGTAGCCACCACCCGGCCCACCCTGATCAACCTCACGCAGCCCCCACGGCGCGGCTCACTGCGCAGGCGCACGCAGCAGCCAGGCCTGACTAATCCAGCGCGGAGCGGCGCCCCCTGCCACTGCCAGGGCGCCTGGTAGAGTCACGATCCCCCGATCGCACTTTGATGCCGGCAGGGAACGCAGGAGGAATACTGTACTCTCTTTGCGGACCCATCTCCAGCGAAGTTGGCCCCTGAGTGTGTGGACTTGGCAGCTGCGAGAGGACCTGGCTGCTGTTTGGAAAAGATAGTGATCTAGATAGCAAGGATAGTGATTCTGAGTGCAGTTTGTTGATGCCAAGCTCATAGTATGGCCATTTCTAGACAAGGGACCAAACGCTCAGAAAGGCTAAGTAGGGTGATGGAAAGGTTCTAGAACTGGATTAAGGCAATGGTGGCACAGATCTTTTCGTTTTTATTTTGCTGATTAACTGGCATGGAGGTGGAACCCACAGCTTTTCACTGAGCTACCTGCATCCCCATCCCCAAACCCTTTAAAATTATTATTTAAATTGTTTTTTGAAACAGTGCCTGTTTAAGTCCTTAAATCACCCAGGCTGGGTTCAAATTTACAGTCTTTCTGCCTCAGCTTCCCAGAATGCTAGGATGACAGGCGTGACATCAACTCTTCACAACTTTTAAATGTGCTAAAAACTAGGTCATAAGTTGCACAAGTCAAATAGGTGAAGGCGGATGAAGAGGGGAGAAAGTTGAAGAAACCTTGGGAAGGTCCCTGGCCAGTAGATAGCCAAGTTAAATCAGTATTGGAGGTTGAACAAGAGCAAGCACCTTCTCCTTAGAGGATGTATGTTTTCCCCATTGAGTGGTTGTGCAGCCTTGTTAGAGTTTATTTAATTATATATATATATATATATAT